ATTCAAATTATATCGTATTGGTTGAACGGGTAAGCGATCGAGGAATGCAAACTGAGATTACTGCGGATGATAAACTCAAAATTAGCATGTTCAATTCCTCGTTTGGGATTTATCTTTACAACCAAAAAATCTCACAAAACTGTCTTCACCTACAGACTTTGAATAAATCACTTACACTAAAGTTACTTGACTGGTTCAAGCCTCTCTTGTTGTGGCATGTTCCAATCACACTGCAGCAGCGTTCGACACCGCAATCCGTGTCCGCGTCGCATTTCTAAGATAGGTTGGAAAAGAAGAACAAAAAAAGAGAAAAAAAAGGAAGAGTGAAGATGTTTATATCATCAAAGAGCAGATTTATGAAAAATTTAAATTTCTGGTACGTTTGAATTCAGACATTTTGCACTTTTGATTATTTTCGCATCAGATCGTAATGGCGCTTAATGCAATGGGCTTATCGGTTTCTCACGGTTCCCTGACAATCAAAGGAAGAAACGTTGGCGAGTGTATCAAGCTAGTTTTTGAGTGGTAATTTATTTTAACATGAAAATCCTAAATATCCCTTTGATCAGCAAAAGGAGTTTGAAAGAAGAGAAAATGGTGTTTTTTTGCAGGAGTTTGTATGGAGGCAGTAAAATAAAAACTGCTCACCCCGAATATAAATCGCTTTTCTCGCAACTGTATCTTCTGTTTTAATATATTTCCAACAATAGAAAAGCGTGAGTTGAACCAAATTTCAGCCTCCATCATCTATTGCATAGCTAAATCTAATTTCTTTGATATTTTCCATAAATTTTATTAGAACGCAGGTTACTTTTAATAATTTCCAATCCCCTAGTTTTTGATCCAAGTGCATGTGCTTTGATGGTTAAAGAAAGAGGTTAGTGGACAACAATTAAATAAGCGTTATGGGTAATATCTTGATGGATGGTCAACTAGCTCTTCAATCGGTCAATTGATTCACTACCCGTACCTCGGAAGGACAAAAATGAACAGGAACCATATCAGTTTTGCTTATAATTTAGACATATTTGCCAAATGGCCTTCAACTGACAACATACTATGTTTAGCTTAAAACAAAATCAATGTAGTCCTAAGGAAAGCACTATATCCAATTAGAAATGCGCAATGGAAAGCACCTCCTTTCGACCACTTCATTAGTACCATTAACTTCCTATTTCCCTAGTTTTTTAAGGGCATATACTTAGATGGTTAAGGAGAGAGGTTAGTGGACAACAAGTAAATGAGCATCATGAGTAATATCTTAAATGTTCATGGCACAGAAGTTATTTTCTTCCTTCGTTGCGATTCTCTTCGTCATAGCACAAAATCTGGTCTTTGATACTTGAATGTTCCTTTACATATCACACGCCGTGCAGTATATTTTAGGAGACTGTTAATTCTGGAAGATTTTTTTTCCTTCCTTTTGTCTAAGTATATATATATATTTGAGTATTCTCCTAGAGTGTTTTTAAAGCGCATCAATCAGAGCCCTGATGACTTTCATAAAAAAAGGAACCGGGCCAGCTTGCTGAATCCCCTTTAATAGCTCAGTTTCATTAAGATGCGACCCTCTCGAAAGAAAAGATCAAGTAAGCATTCTTCTCTACAATAATTTAAACTAGTTTACTCGCTACCTACACTATGATTTTACTTTCAACTTATTTTGATATAGATGTTCATGTTCGGTTTCTGCCAAAATTACGCTGAATCTATTGATCAGCCATGAAGCCAGCAGTCACGACTCAACGATGTTCTCTATAGGTCATCCACAGACTATATCTTATTTTACTAGATCGAAATTTTTAATTATGAAATCAAGCATGGAAACTTTGTCACCAGACAAATTGACATTCAGTAGATGTTGAGTCACCTGCAAACTCTAAATTAAAATTACATCCTCTCTTGTCACGTAAACTTTTCACCATATAGATACGTCCCCTTCTCAAATTAACGAAGACTTAGCAGCTGCAACTGCTTGTTTGCTTTCATTTCCTTGAGAATTAAAATCACCAGAAAATAATCGTTTATGAATCGTTGGGGACTGAGTTATGGAACAGATTTCGTGATAAACCAAACTGTTTCGAAAATAACAGTGTAATAAAAGTGCAGTTAACCTTGAATAGTTTAACAACCGTCTAAGCCGGCCCCACGATTTTTTTAAATCCCAATCGGCCGAACTAAATTTAATATAGGAAAGTGTTTGTTATGTTTGCTTTCTCATTATTGCTTTTCCTTGATTAAGCTTCTTAAATAAATAAAATTTCTTCTCTTTCAATAATACGTAGTTTTTACACCTTTGGGTGAAATCAAGGCACTTCATTTCTCAGTAATGATTTTCCGTTTTATGGTTGATCAGCTGCAGAACCATTCCGGTCTATTTAAGAAAGTGCCACCCATATATCTTTATCCACAGCAGATTCCCGGCTGTAGCAGATAAAGGCAACATGAACCTCGCATTGTCCCTGGCTCTGTGCCTGGCGTTCGCCTTTGTGGTGAATTCCTTGAGAGAGGAGGATTTGAGCCTTTTGGAGGACGATTTTGTGAGAGATAAAGTTGAAAATAACAAACGCTTTCTTTTCAAAAAGAGGGTAAGTACTTTATGTTAGCAAAGTTCAACTGGTTAAAGCTAAAAGTTGAATAGGTATGCATCATCAGTAGGAAAGCCATATTCTTTTTGGGGTAGTTTCTTACCTGGGCAAACTGTTGTTTTAGCTTTCTCTAAATGTAGATAAGGAAGTAATTAAGAGATTTAAAACAGATTATTTAGCCAAGTAAAAGCAGACATGCATAATAAGCCCATAATAAAACAGAGAGAACTTTAGCTTTAGCGGTAGAACTAGTGCTTTCTAAAGAAATGTTAAGGGGAAAAAATTGGAAAAAAGACTTTCAGGGCCTTTCCCTTCTTATCGCTGAATTACTTGAATCAAACTACGACAACTGGAACAAACTTTATTGTCTGTGGTCAACGGTTTTTCTGCTTTATTATGTAAGCAAAAGCAATGTCATAATTTTGAAATTGAGTTAAGTCTTCATGATCGAACGTCCCTGTCCTCTTTTCATCTTCAGTGTTCCAGCGATACAGACTGTGCGGCACTTCAGTGCTGTTTCCAAAAAATCGGTTACACCAAGTGCTTGGCCAAGAAGGGAGAGGGCAGGATCTGCCATCCTTCCTCTGTAAGTAAACCCCTTCTGTCAGTCAACGAGTATGTAGCTTTTCACACTCGATTGTGTTGTCGGTTTATCTTTTGGCAGGTGGAAAATAATTGTTTGTAGATTCGGATCTAAAACATTTCTCCTCAACAGGAGATTGATTAAAAAGATAGTACCGGTTCGACTTGTTGGTAAGGTAGTTCTCCTTTAGAATACGGTTAATGATAACTGTAGAAATCTTAAGATAACGTTTTAGTTATAACCATTATTCTACCGGGGATTCCAAAGTAAGATGATTATCTTTATATCACTGGGCAGGTGTTTAAATTAGGCCAAATTTTGATGATAACGCAACAAAAAAAAAAAAAAAGTGCAAAAGAACGATACCCTAAGAGAGTTTCCTAAAGAACCATCTTTTAATGGGTCATCGGCCAAATTATGGTGTGTTCCGCCAAGTTTTTCTTGCAGTTCAAAGATAGAGTATTCACTAATAGGTGGTTGGAACGATCATTGCATCGGTTAGATTCCTTTCAAAACACTCTTCCACGTCCTTCTCGAAAGATGGTTAAAAAATAGAAAATACCATCCCAACATGTTCAGATTGGTAAAATCAGAAACTACTCTCTCACGCCTGAAAAAGCTTTAAATGACATAATTGCAGTTTTTTTTAGCATGTTTGTGTTTTCCTTTAAACAGAAATGCTTTAGGAAATGCCAAGACGGACTGGAATGTCAACGGAGTTTCGGAATCGGTAGTTTTGCTATCTACAAATGCGCTCAGCCAACGGAGCCAGGTTCTAGTAATGTTGATATGTGAATTGCTAGCACAGGATTTGTGACTTTTTAACTAATAAGCGACTTGTTAAATCTTAAATAAACAGTCATAAAGAAAATGGATCGCGTATCTTCTCTTCGTCGAACTTGTCACACATCTAGTGCACTGTGGGAAATTCTAGAAAATGAGCATCATTCCAGTTGTGGTGTTCCTCCTCGACACCAGTCTCCAGAGGATCAGTAATTTGTGACGGGTGATTCATGTTGGTGTATCGTATACCCGGATAATTGTGTAGGACATATAACGAAGAGTCGCCCATCTCAGGCTTTAACCCTGTAATGTTTATCCAGAAACGTGTGTTATGTCAATAATAACCTTGGAATGGGGTGTAAGGCAAATATCGTAACTGTCGAAGAAAATTAGGCCTCCTCTGCAACACATAAACGATCATCGCAGGTGCTTGGCTATAAACGCTCCGGGTGTACCACTGAGTTTTGCTCTAACGTCATTAATATGAAGAGCTTTTAAAAAAATGGGACACTTCAAAAGTTACCGGAACGCGGTGATATGCAGGTTCTGGCACCGTAGCCGGTACATTTTGTTTCTCTAGCAGATAGCTTTATTAAAGAATTTTCAAAACTTTTGAAGCCTCCATCTTGAGATCTTGAGTGAAAGCAGAACAGTCTCGTCTGAGTTGCTGTTGTTACTTTATTTTGTTGTTGTTATTTTTGTTCTTTTGCAGTAGAATTTAGTTGCTAAGATAGTTTTCAGCAATTTTAGTGCCGTCTTTCACTCACAGAATGAAAATCACTACAACTTGATATCTAAGCGAAACGCAAAAGAGAGATATCAACCAAACGGGGAATCAGCTGAGAAGACACAAACAAAAGGAAGTGAACAAACAGCCTTAAAGTATGTCCTTCTCCAGAATATCTAACATTAGTGCATACACACAAGTGAATAGTGCTTTTCGCGGGTGCTGATTGGCTCATTCGGAAGCGGAAAGCAACTACTATTCACCTCCACTTCGGTGAATAATTGTTAACCGTATTCATTTACAATACGTTGATTTTTCGGAGATTTCATTCTTAATGGACTCTCTACTAGACAAGTCATTTAGTTTGGCAATGGTTAACTAGATGAGGAGCACGAAGAGCTTATTTACAATCACGCCGACATGGTGTTCATTTCAATTACATTGTTACTAAGAGGGGGCCCAACTATTTTCTTATACAGCGTATAAAAATTCAGGCATACTACACTTTTAAATCTGGAAATCAGTCCTTCACTGGAAGCAGTGTCATCGCCTGTTTCGGATTGTTCTATATTTGCCTCAGGTTCTTCTTCATTTTTCATGATGGCCCCACGACACATGGGGCATGTGTAACTGAAATCGAAAAGCATGTCACGTCAGTCATCCAACCGTTTTGCTCTATATCTTGGGTCAAGAGAGCTCACAAAAATCAGAGCGCGTAATGATTAACAGATCGTCTGAGTTATCACAGTCATTCAACTACGCGTTTTTCATGCAGATCAGTAATCAATAAACTCAGAAAATGAGAAAACAAAAGTTATTTAACTCAGATTGTTTGTAGTTTTTCCCATCAAAATCTTATGCATAATATATCGAGCATTATAGCTCTCTTGTTTATGATGGATTTGTCTGCTACAAGGTTGCTATATAGCAATCCTATATACCACTTTTCTTTCTTTTGCGAAATAAAATGCTGATGATTAAGATGTATTGTAGCGGTATCAATACAATGAATTCGCAAGTATCGGTCGAGATAGTAAGATGGAACATATTATACAGACCCAAGTGTGTTTCGATACTATTCATTATAAACGCAATTGACTTAACAGGCAGCTGTTTTCTTAAAGTAAACAGATTTACTAACATCATGATGCCGGTAGATTGTTTCGCCCTGGGAAAAAACCCGATCTTTTCCTACCTTCCTGAGAGAATAAGCTTTACACCACAATCCTCATGTATCATATGAAAACAAGGAAGAATAACTGCTCCTGAAAAAACTTCCTGGGAGGAACAAAACAAAACTCGAGTTAAAATTAAAAAATATCCACAACGGAGTGGGCAAATATTCTTGTTAGATTTAGTTAGACGATTTACAAACTGAATCTAATCTAAATATATCTATATTCATTTAACGAATAAATTCTAAGTTACCGTGCGTTTGTTCATCGATGATACTACTACTACTACTACTAATAATAATAATACTTTGATTATTCGCTATTTACATAGAAAAGATTAGTAGCGCTTTACAACGATTCACCTATGAAACTATTCCACAACAATCTGAGTATACCATGTAAAATGCAGATGAGATTTAAAATAAAACAAATCAGATTAAATAATATATTCATAAAAACTTAATAAATAAAATTTTTGGTCTAAAACGGTTAAAGAAAAACCTGACCAGAAAGGTAGATCTTAAGATTGCGTTTAAAAATTGTCGACAATGGGATAGCACGCAATTCAGCGGGCAAACTATTCCACAAAGATGGTGAAACGACATAAAGGGATCTAGCACCAACCGCAGAAAACATCTTCTCTTAAGGCGGCTGCAGTAACAAGGCGCCATTGGATAAAGGATTGTGAGGGGCCTCTCCTCAGATACCCATATCAGCATAAAGTCCTTGCAGTAGTACATTGTGATTAACAGTGTCAAAGGCTGCACTTAGGTCGAGTAATACCAGTAATGTAATATGTTGTGAGTTCATTGCAAGTTAGCAGCATATCAGTTTCCGTGCTGTGGTCTTGTTTGAAAGCAGATTGGAACACGGGGTGGGTACCATTTACTACCATATGTTCATGTACCATGATTGAAGATAGCTCTTTTGGTTAATTTAGAAACATACTGTACATTGATGACAGGTTTATAATTCTTAAGAACCAGATCCAACCCAGGTAATTTTAACAGTGGATTTCCAATTATCTGCAAACATGCCTGACTTTAGGGACAAGTTTATAATTTTCGTGAGAACAGGAAGAAGAACTTCAATACATACAAACACCAAGAAAGTTGGCATTGAGTCAGGATAGATCACAGATGATGTTAAAATATGTTAAAAACATTTGTTTTATTATTAAAAAGACCCACAGTAAAATAGAATCTATATTTTTTATGCCATAAAGAAGCAAAAAGTTGTTGGTGGTGATGTCATTTATGCGCCTGTACTCCAATACACCATACAAGTAAGAAGCAATCAAAATGGGTGTATCATTCAGATCATTAGTTGAGGATATGAATTCATAATAGTTTTTATGAAATGATAGCCCCTCTGAATGCAATAGACTTTCAATTACCTGAATTTTGTTTAAGGTTATCCTTGGAGTCAAAGTGGAAATTTAAGAAAAATTTATCCAAACGGTCAATCAATCACTTAAACAATATTCCAAGTTTTCGCAAATAAGCGATTGTATTAAAAGAAATGTCACCTACCTCCAAGCATATTGCACAAGGATCGTGACCTCTATTGTCAAAACACTTATGATCCTTCAGAGACAGTGGCATACAAACATTACACGTGTTGCAATGGAAGTTTTCTTCCTTGTTTAACCTTCAAAGATTGGAAACAGAGATAGTGACTAATTCAAGGGATGCATCGTCCTTTAACAATAAGTTAAATGACAAGGCGTCATTGAGCATAGAAAAAGATTATGCTAGCAATGGAAGAGCAGTTAAAGGGAGATGAGACTAAAGATGACGTGACAACATCTGCGAAGATGATGATGATAATGAAGATGATAGTGATAAAGGGTGTTAGCAATGGTTGTAACCATGATGAAGATGTTGGTGAAAAATAATCTAGTGAAGATAGTTGGAAAAGAAAGAGAAGAGGAAGGAAGGAGTGAAGAAGACCTAACGAGGACCAACAAGAAGGACTGGTGCCAAAAGCAACAACGACAAAAAGACTCACAACAAAAAATATAAAAAAGGCAAGTAAAAGGAAGATAAGGACAAAAGAGGAGAGCAAGTCATTCAACATGAAAAGAAGACAGAGAAGGGATGAAGACAACATAGAAGACAGGAAGAGGGGTACAATAATGTTACGATGGTGGTGGATATTTCTATACGTATCCGTACAAACGAAAATCTGATTGATGGAAATAAATATCAAAAGAGAATTGGGTAAATTTAATTACCTGCATACCCCGCACGGACCACAGTGGTAAGGGTCTAGTTTAGCACTTCCATTACTTTCGATCAAAAGTTTACATTCTGGACAGAAGTAACTGGAAAATGTTTTCCCGCACGACCCATTTTCACACTTCTGACAAAACTGTAAGAAAAATTGTGTTGGTATCAATACCTTAGATAAAGCAAACAACCAGAACAAATAATTTTACAGTGTCAAAGTGAAAATCTAGTAAAGTTGATGGCCTGATAATTTTCACAAAAATAAAAAAGGGCCGTAACAAGAGGGGATAAATTGCTTGATTACAGAGATCACCTTTGACTGTATGTGGTCACATGCTGTACACTTTAGGCGACCTCCGTCTCGTGATGTAACTAGCACATGCTCCTTTATAGTGACCGATGAGAGTTGTAAATTATCTTCATCATTTCCTTGCATCATACTTTTTCTGACGCGCATCTCTTCATTATTCTTCAATTGATTTGATGATCCATTGGTGGTGTTTAGATTTTCCTCCTCTATGTCACCAGTCGATGCTTCATCTTTTAAACCTAAGTATTTTATTATATGATTGTCTTAAGATATCAAATATACAATGACAGAGCAGTCTGTACTGTGCAATAAATCATGACACTAGAGTACACGGTGAACTTATAAAAACAAGTGTATCACTGACTCCAGTATCAGACTAGTATCAGTTTCTTGATTTGTTTTGTCTGTTTTGCCTTGTTATTTATAATTTTTTTTGGCTTTCTTGTTTGTTCATTTGTTTTGTGAGTTGAAAGTACACTTAATCTGAAGATTCAGAGTACATCTCAACAGTTCTGTTATAATAGATATACCTAATGTGGATATACTTATAATATTCAATCCCCAAAGTTAGAAATTTTTCACCTATCTGAGGTCAAATTTTCCCAATAATATATCAAAATGTGCTCTAAGTTTATTTGAAAACAGGAGTCACGAGGGAATGAAAGGAGTCAACCTCTATTTAAGGTTATTTATAAACCTTCGTGTTCTCTGGCACCTTCTGCTGCTTGGCCAGAAGATATCGCACTGGAAATGCTTGTTTCTCCATTGAGTTGTGACAAGTTTTCCTCTATGTTAAACGAAGTTCCCTCTGCATTTCCCTTCATGTTATGTAAGAAATAAGAACATGATTATACTTAGAGCATTACCAGTAAACTAATTTAACAACCGTGCTGACCAAGTGTTGATTAGTCAAACTCATTCCTAGTGGTGGGACATTTTGATTTCTTAAGCTTGGATGTGCAGCCTAGGATATCTGAAGGTAAAGAGATTATAGCCATTTATTTTCGGGGAGGGGGCCGGGGGACATTAAGAAGTGGGGAGGAGGGAAAGAACACCATAAAAATTTGAGAATTTTTGAAACAATTAACCATGAAAGTAAACTTTACCATAAACACCGGTGAAATAAGCAAGATACATTCACATTCTTGCTCATACGTAAAAACTGCCACTCCAGTTCAGATTTAGCCCCTAGCCATAAAGAATCGGGGAGACGCCCTTCAACATCAATCTTGAGCATGTATTGTGTTAATCTATTCATAATTTCAGAAGTATATAACCAAGTGTTAAGTTATACGCGTCCAATTATGCAGATAGGTTGTTCCAAGTAACTTAATAGCTCCTTTAAATGGCATTCAATTATTCAAATTTACCTTTCCTTTTACTCCCCAAGGAGTGGTGTTTTGTTGAGTTTGTTTGTTTTCTCTGCTCACTGAATATTCTGCCATTCCTGACAAAACCCTGTCGTTCCCATTTTGCAAGGATTCGTAGTCGGTGGCTGTTTCGGGGTTTTCGCCATTGGGTGCATCTGAAGTTTTAGCTCTTAATTCCATTTTGGTATCATCAAATGGAACACTACATGGAGTAGCTATAGTCGACAAAAGAAGTGAGATATTAAATAAGTTATCCGAAAAAAAACGAGTAAGGTTCAAAACTGTTATACAGTCTTTAAGTAAACTTATACCTTCGAGCTCATAGCTAATTCCAGTGGCATTTGAACTGCCTTCTCCCAAATCGTCTCCTTCCTCTACTATATCACTCTCCCCGAAATTATATTTTGAATTATCCACTTTTGGTTTGTCATTCTCTTGCTTTTTCAAGGCGTCATTGTGGCATTTGTGGCAAGGATACCACTCACTGCAGCATGCGAAGTGAATCAGACAAGTGTTCCGCTGGAAATGTGGGCAATTGAAAGACTCCCTAAGAGGAAATATGGGAATGAACAAAGTTAGGGAATATTTCCTTACGAAGAGGCAACAACTAAAAGCAGAAAAAATAACTGAACACTAAGAAAATATTCATTGCGCTAGTTTTGCCGCTTTCTTAAACTTGGACAAGTCAAATTTGATTGCTTCAAGAAAACATGTGCCCATGTACTATTGATCGCCTCTAACAAATGATTTATGTACTCAAAAACATACACTTAATCTTTGAATGTTTTCGTTAAAAGACTGAACAGTGCGTTTCATTGAAACGCGCTGTTTAAAATTACAGCAATATAAATTATCATCGTAAATGAAATTTCAACTGAACCTTTCTAGAGTGTTTGTCAAAGCAAACTTGGACTACCTGACGTGAGACTCAGGCTCTCCGTGTGTTTTCATCATACAGCTCTTTTCTCCTCGTTTCTTGCGACAGATTTGTAGACCACTTTAAAAGACAACGAGAAAGTAAGGCGATGGACTTCGAACGACGGTTATTTACAATCAATTAAACTCGGAACTTTCCCGGAAAAAAGGGACTTTCCCGAAGGGGAATTTCCCCAATCGACAACTTTCTGTTTTGTAGACTGCTGAATTGAGCTCATTAATTACTTCTGATTCTGTGTAATACCCAGATGACTCCTAAGCATACTCCGTTTTGTTTTCTTCAAAAGACGAACAAATTTATATCTGGTTTGATCTTTTTCGTCTTCCCAAAAGAAGAAATGCTGAGATCGCCTTCCTACATGAAAGGGAAAATCCCAAGTTCTGTTGTTTACGGAAGTGAGTCATTAATTCGAGCTGGTTTGCAGCCAACCCAAGATTATTCATTGTTATGTTCTCGAGAACATGAACAGACGTATTTCTCGTTTAGCTAGTTATCACCTTTTCGGATCAAGAACTGCTGAACTCGGCTTCACAAGTGAAAGGAAAAACGGGAAATTCCCCAGCGGTGAAAAGAAGCTTTTAGAGAAAATGCTTCAATAAGCAACTTTGGAAACAAGTAAATTTCGGTAGAGGTTAAATCAAATTTTGAATGAGTTTGGAAGCTGAAGGTAACCAGGTGACACGACTGTAGAAAAAAAAATCGAATGACAGCCATTTTCGTCATAGATACCTTGGAAATTTAAAATCAATAAAACTGGACAGTTTTGTTGCCAGCACATTGTTTTTTCAATTCTAAGGGGAATTCTAAGGGGAAAATCCCCTCAAGGTATCAACCAATCACGAAACTCGTATGTAAGAGGGACAAAACCCATGGGAAAAACCCGCGGCAACTCTTCACATAATTATATATCAGTGGAGTTGTCTAGAGTGTCATTTGCTCGTTCACTCGAGAGCAAGAGAAGTATTTACGCTACACAAAGTTACCAAATCATAATTTATAATTTTAGCTGGTTGGATTGTTTGTGTGCTGGCGGTTTTTTTTTCAGAATGGGCAATAATTTCAGCATAGACAGTTTCAAAAATACCTGCACCAAATTGATTGATTGGCTCAAGGAAATAATCGGGAAAACAAAAGATGCTATTTTTAAGTGCGCACTCGCTGTTTTCCGATCGATGCGGGATGCAGTATTGTATGCCTTTGAAACCCTTGGGACGAGGAAAAAGAGGGCGGAAGCCGCCTATACTGTTTCTCTCCAGGTACTTAATCAAGCAACGTAACTTAATGCAAAAAACAAATGCTAATGATAATCTTTATTTGAGGCTACGGGAGAAATAAGACGTACTTCAATCCAACAACAGGCAGCTGAAGAGTCCTTTGAAGAGAACTCATTACAAGCCACTGTGAAAAAGGAAAGTCGTACTTCAATCCAACAACAAGCAGCTGAAGAGTCCTATGAAGAGATAAACCCATCACAAGCCACCGCTGTGAAAAAAGAAGGTAAGTAACTACGGTGCACTTCAATGCAAAACATTACACTACATTACGCCACACTACACTACACTACACCAAAATACATTTCATTGCACTTTTTATTGCAAACATTACTCTACATTACGCCATAAAACACAACACCGCATCACAACACTACACCACAGCACACATCACCACGGCACACAACACCACATCACACTACACCACATCACACCACACCACATCACACTACACCACACAACAGCGCACTAAACCACACCACACCACACTACACCACATCACACTACACACACAACAACACACAAAACATACCACAACACAGAACACGACACTGCACCACACCACACTATACCACACCACACCACACCACACTGCACCACAGCACATTACAGTATATAGCATTACAGTACACCACTACACTAAAGTAAACTATTTAAGCGCAAAACTACACCATACTACATTTCAGGTGATTCTGACCACATTACTCCCACTTAAAGGCTTCAAATGTACTCAAAATGATAGGGGTTAGGTTGAAACATTTTCTTACAGATTAATGGGGACCATTGGATCTTGGGAGTCTATTGGGTGAGCACACAAACCCAGTTGCCCGCGATGTGTTTCTTTTCCTATTATTTTCTTCAACTCCCATTTTCTTGTTTTAATTTATCTGATACAGCCATATTATGGGACAAACTGGTTAGGTGAAGGTCCGTTTCACTTTAAAAAAGGTGAATCCCTTTGAAAACCTCTTTGTTGGTAACTTCAGTTGAGCATCAGCATTAAACGTAATCTGAGAGCAAAGTTAAACCTCATTCGTTCTAATATCCTTACAGTCATAACATGAAGAAAATTGAGGATAATCTGTTCTTTGGTGTTTGGAAGGTAACAAAGTGAGGAATGAAACTGATCAACTCTCAAATGATTCTGAGCTTTTGACTGAGGAGGAGGAAGAGGAAGAGGAAAAGAATCTCGATTTCATGTATAAAGTTGGCGAGGTTATGCAGGAGTACGTAAAGGATATCAGGAAAATCAAGGCAGAAAACAAGAAGAACAAAGATCATAAAAAGACAGGTAATGAGCTTTGAGTCGAAGTATTTCAGAATTATTTATCATGTCAAAAAACCTACTACTTCATAACAACTGCACGTCAATGAGACATGGTAGCTTTGTTCACGTATAGCTATTGTCGCTGGAATGTATTTGGACCAGTCTTGTACAATGTTGAGCCTATTGGTAGCACGCTTCACTCCCGATCAAGAGGTTGGGTTCATGTCCTATTAAGTTTCACTGAGTTGTGCTCAAGATTAGATATTAATTAACAGTGCCTCTCTCCTACAAGCGCCAATAATATCATTGTGTTTCTGTAAACTGTCTGGAAACTAGAACTGGAGGGGTAAAATCCGTTCAGGAGCTCCTGACTTGTAATAATCTTATTGGCTTCTCATCGGGTAAGCTCTGGCATTAATGGTCCGCTAGATTTAGGCTTACCTTATTGGGTTGCCGGGTGCGTTCCTCGGTCCGTCATTAAAATATCGTAAACTTTCAGGAAAATTTTCCCCTGAGCTAACATTTTCAATTTTCAAAAAGGGACATCGTGTAGGTGCATATACTCAGAGCCAGTGAAAAGGGCATAAATGCAGAGGGGTTCAATATTCAAGGGAAATTTGTAAAAACTGTCTGTATAATTAGAAAGAAATGAGAGTCAAAAGTTTTTAATTTAATAGTGAAAATAATAGGGTGTTACTTCAGACAGGACGACAAAGGTTTAATATTGTGCATAAAAAAGATGGCAGAAAAATTAGACAACAATAGTTTCGTTATACCACATAGGAATAACCTTAGCTCATGTCTGAACTTGCCTCCAAAACTTGTCATATGGCATGGTTTGGTTTTGTATAATTATGAAATACTAGCACCCGTGGGGCTTTTCTTCGTTCCGAATTTGGGGGCTAAACAAACCTTGAGGGCCTTACTGGAAAGAACTGCACGGTAGCTCACAAAATAATAAATAAAGAGGGTCAATTATTTTACTCAAGGTTAATCATAGAATAAATAAAAAGTTCCCAATTTTTTTTTCAAAATTTTAGTTGTGTTCGTTGTTTGTTATAGAAATTTATTTTTCCTTTTATTTTCAGCACGCAACTGGAAAAAGTTGAACAACAAGCCCTATGTTAAGAATCTGCACGTTGCTGTTAACAATTACCGCAGCAACTGTCCAAAGAATTTACGAGCTTCTTTTGATGCCTTACCGGTTATCTCACCGTGTTGTAGTAACTAAAATGGTTTGCTGTCACTATCATTACAAGCCACAAACCTTCTTTCTTTGATTATTGCCAATAACAGAAAAAAATTCCTATTATTGCACGACTAGTTGTGATAATTTTTCCTTCATAGAAACGTACCACAGAAACATAAGGCTTCCTTGTAAAACTCTAATTTTAGCTTAAAGCAAGAGAAACGGGCTCGGTGATAACCTCGTTTGTCAAAGAAAAACTTTCATTATTTTTTTTCCCAGAAACCTCGCATAAAGAGGAATTTTGCTTGCTAAGCTCATTCCAATTTAACAACACACAAACGAGAATCATCTACACAGGCAATTAAGTTCTTCTAATTATCAGAGTTATGTCTTATAATCAACGGATGTTAGTTTGCAACTCGTATCTTATCGTAATCAGCTAAACTTGTATAAAGTTAGGGTATCATGAGCAGCTTAATTGTTGTTTGTTATTGCATATCAAGGAGTTACACTTTTATAAAAGTAAAATGCATGCAGACTGATTGTGTGAATTGATTAGAAATTGAAACATTAAAGAGGTGGTATGATTGACACTGTGTTTCTGATTTTCTGATTCGAGTCCCTTATGGTACACGTATACGCTTAGCTACTGTTCAAGCTTAATACCATCGGACCAAAAAGCAAATATTCCATTTCCCTACATACAAAGCGGGTCAAAACCAAAGTGTGATGAGGGCATGGAACTGAGTGGATTGATTCTGATGGACTAATTTGAATGGCGCAAAAGGTTAGTCAATAACCAACGCGACGTTTTCATGCGAATTATTGTTTTCAATCATTTGAACCCTTGAGAATTGTTTTACTTTATTCCCTATTTTGCTTTAAGGACCCACTCCAGTATTTTTCAACAAACGGTTATCAATAGTCATCGATTTAGCGATGAAAGGTCAGATTGCAAGGCCTTCCCCCTGTATTCCTCCAAATTCTTGAACCCATCCCTGAAGCTACCGTCTCATGCTGCACTGTGATGTTTCAGTTTGTCGATAAATTTAAAACATAGACAAAACTCTTCCTTTTCGAATAAACACCTACAGTGCAGTTAATTTGAATGCATAAAGGTAAAAATTGGTGGGGTTATTTTAGTACCCGCTAGATTTGTCTGCATAGTAACTGACGCGCAAAAATCTACTTTTGATAATTCTTTGTCTGAGAGATTGGACTATGAAAAGCCCCTCTCCCCCTGCTAAACAGTCTATAGTACCATTGAAGAATGTAAAACAAAATTCCTCGCGATAATGTTTTTTGGGTCCCGTTTATTTTAAACTAAGAACCATTCTCTCACTGTAAGTCGCCGGAACCTGGCTCCTCAGTTGGCGCCGGTTTGCAGCGATGATAAATGGGAAGTGAACCAATGGAAAAAACTGGCTGACAGGTCAAACCGGATTTGCAACCACACTTGTGCAGTCCCTAAAAAAATGTTAAATAACAAGTAAGAACGCCCTACAGCAAAAAAAAGTTGATCATTAATCAGACTACGCTTACATAATCGTCTGTGTGCCTGCAGAATTTAAGCAGCGATGGGTCGTGCTATTTTATCTGGTCTCAAAAACTCATTACAGCAAGCAGATGTTGAGAAGCTTTGGGTAAATCACTTTTAAAAAACATCTCGATAAGGGTTAGAGTTAGGTTTGTTGGAAGAGTGGATTGCGCCGCACGTTTTGTTATGACTTAAGCGCTCTACGAACAACTAGGCCCCTCTCTAATTTTCCGTGTCCTTGATAATAATGGTATGAATTTATTGCTTTTCCTGCCCTTGATTTTGAAGTATTGGACCCTTACTACAACCACTGGCTGGAATAATACTTAACTCGAAATGATTCGCGAGAACATTTGTGAACACTGATACTGGTAAAAACCATGCCCTACGTTGAAGGTTAATTCGTTCTTCTGATCCAGAAGTTTATTAAAATTTAGAAAGAAATGGGGGAAGAAGAATTGTCTTTGAGAGGCGACGTGGAGAAGGAGGAGGATTTCATTGAAAATCTAAAAGATATCAACTGTCTTCCAATTATATTGTATTGATTGAACTGATAAGCGATCGAGGAATGCAAACTGAGATTACTGTGGATGATGAATTCAAATCCTACAAAATTAGCATGTTCTTTTCCTCGTTTGGGATTTATCTTTAAACTCACAAAACTGTCTTCACTTACAGATCTTGAATAAATCACTTACACTAAAGTTACATGACTGGTTCAAGCCTCTCTTGTTGTGGCATGTTCCAATTACACTGCAGCAGCGTTCGACACCGCAATCCGTGTCCGCGTCGCATTTCTAAGAGGAGTTGAAAAAGAAGAACAAGGAAAGAGGAAAAAAGGAAAAATGAAGATGTTTTTATCATCAAAGAGCAGATTTATGAAAAATTTAAATTCTTGGTTCGTTTGAATTCAGACGCTTTGCACTTTGATTATATTCGCATCAGATCGTAATGGCGCTTAATGCAATGGATTTATCGGTTTCTCACCGTTCCCTGACAATCAAAGGAAAAAACCGTTAACGAGTGTGTCAAGCTAGTTTTGGAGTGGTGATTTATTTTAACATGAAAACCCTAAATATCCTTTTGATCAGCAAAAGGAGTTTTTAAAGAAGAGACAATGATGTTTTTTAAAATAAAAACTGCTTACCCCGAATATAAACCGCTTTTCTCTTTCTTGCTCGTCCGGGATTTTATAGCTGGCAGTGAAAGCCACAAACAAAAGAAGTCCAGCCAAGACCTTCATTTTTCCTTTTTTTTCAAATGGTTCTTGATGCCAAAGATAACAAATCTGCAACCGATTTATGCCTTTTTTTGTCGTCTCAACTCTCTTATAAATAGAAAGAAATGCTTGTTTACAAAGCTTGGTTTCGTTATCAGATGCGTCACTTGGGAGACAAAAGAATTCATTTCTGTTGCAACAGCTACATGTTGGTACACAATGTACAATTTAACGCCTTCTACAACAAACCTAAGATATATTTCTTTTAAACGAGTTTTATACAGAGCTGAACGTAAAAGTCGTGAAAAAAAGGAACAATATAAGATATTTCTGACATTTTCTACGTTAAAAAATGTCAGTGCTGTTTTGCATTCAAGATAGATTCAATTCGAACACAAAACATTGTCCATCTTCCCAAAATGTACCAGTATTTCAGCTGCGCTTCTGTGTCAATGTTGTCTCAAAAGACTAACTTGCTCATTGAAAAGAACGTTTATCTTGGTATGAATAGCTATGAAACGGGTACTAATTATAGGCATTCAGTTTCTAGGAAAATCAAATATTGTTTCATTATTTTGATGATCAGTATTGGTTTACCACACTGCTTTTGTTTCACTTTCCGAATTGGGACACTTCCTTCGAGGTTTGCTCAATAGAATCTTTTTGTTCGCAAGAAATGAATAACGCTAAGCTGAAAGATTTCACTGTTATCAGCTGTGCTTTATTTGAACAACTACAAGTTTCTTTTCATGGATTAAAAAATTGAGTTTTGCTTTAAGTGACAATGCCTGTACATGTTCGCTTTTTTTTTTAAGTCAAAAATTTTGTAATTTCTATTCATTCAGATGCAATCTGGCATTTCTTATCTTTTTAACTCAACTGTTCACCAACATTGTTGTACTTAGAAGTATTTGCCGCTGGTTAAGAATAAGTTAAAAAAACCCCGCAGAATAGAGTTCGGTGTTAAATCTTTTTCTGCACCTCTAAGATAAATTTGACAACAAAGGTTTCTTTAGAAAAAATAAATCGAAGAACAGACAAGGTATATAACAACCCTCTACAACCCTTCCCCCTCGCCACTGCTCTGCCCCGAATCATGGTGTCAGGGAAACAGTTAGAAACAGGTCATATAATGGTATATAGCCTCTGTTTATATTGGAATACGATGAGTAACTCTCTTCCTTTCTGACAAATTTTATTTCGCATCGGTGATAACATTTTTCAGTCCGCATATGAACAGCACCTGAATTCACGGCGTGCTTTATCAACGGATGTTTCTACTGAAGAAGTGGAAGACAGCGATAGTATTTTAAACTACCAAGACACTTTGCCACCTGACAGAACAGCCCGGATTTGCACCCACATCCGTGGTATTGCTGTGATAAAACAAAGGGAATCATATTTAATTACGAAATCGAGATGAAATCACAGCTCAATCCCACATAATATGCGCATCTTACCAAACTTATGATGCACGTACGCGACCATTTACAATGTCATTGTTTATTACTTTCAAACTAGCAATCAATATGGTCATTTTAGTCTGGGAATTTAAACATCGTGTTTAATTCATGGGTAACACAGAAAAGTGTCTCATGCCATCAAATCAATGAAGTGTGATTTGAAACGCCTGTCCTACACTGTACCATGTATTTTATTTTGGGCATTGTTACAAAGTCATATTCAAAATCTGAATGAAGACGTGACATTCTTCTCTTCTTGAAGCATTAAATCCACTTCTACCGAAAAATGGAAACAGTATAAATTTGTCAAAAACTTCAAAAACGCGAGTGTTTAGTGATAAATTGAGAAAGAGGACTTAAACACCCAGTAACTATAGCCAACAAAAATGTTTTCTCTGATTGAAAAACGTAATATCCAAATCTCCGCGTGGCCAATCAGATTTCATTTAGCTAATCCTTTCTTTCCTCATATTAGCTCACATAATAAAAATTGATTCTCGCACTCATACCGAAAAGTTACAGGACTCTCCCAAACTCCTTTTGGGGGCACAAATACCAAGATATTTAATACAGCAACGCTCATTGCCACAATCTGCATCAGTGTCACAGATCTGAGGAAGGGAGAAACAGTAATTTAATGATTGCATTTCAAGTTTCTCTGAAGAACTCAACGTACACTTTATTTTGGCCTCAAAATGAGAATTTCTTAATCTAATTAATTTATCCAAATCTAGAATAGACAGTATGGTTATTCAACTGTGTACTCTATTGCCCAAACTGGCTATACTTTTATAATTTAGAACTGAGGCAACGCTCTAATGTCTTCACAGTTGTGGTGTACTGTAAGGCATTGATTGCTGTAAGGCTCAAACCAGATAAGGACTAGGCACAAGGAGTTGTGCTGTATCTGAAAGAACATCGTAATTGTGTTACATGAATTAAAATACTTTCGCCCGAAGTTCTTGAAAACGTTTGGAAAAATTAATTAAAATAAGCTGACACCGCTTTCTGGAAAATTGATGTCGAGTTAACATAATTTTATTTTTAGGTTATGTATCCAGAATAAGTTGAAAAAAGGTCTCAAGGGTAATAGAACTAGAGCTATAAAAGTAAACTAACTTACATCTATATCAGGTAGATTTAGACGTTTCTGTCTATCGTGTGCAGCTGAGTATTGAATTTCCTCAGACGACGTTTTCAGAATAAATAAGCAAACTAAAACTGCTGCCAGCACCTTCATGTTTGTCCTTTTCGCAGATGAAAACTATCTTCCTGATGAATAATTTTGAAGCTGTTTTTCTACTTACTGACCATGTGGAAAATAACAAATTCGGGGGGCGGGCCATCATTGGATTCCGAAAAACCGCTGCAAATTATTTGAACACATCAGTTTAATCTAATTGTAACGTAGACAGGTAAAGAATCGAAAGGAAAAGCGAAATCACCGGTTTTCAATGAGATGAGCCTTTTTTGTGTAAAACAAATTTTATTTGGCAGCTATACATATACATACACTTCTCTTTAGAAGAGAGTTAGGAGAACTCGCATTTTGAGAGCTTGGAGATCGTTTCAGGATTATGATCCAGGGACGTTGATGAAGACCTTTACGGTTCTAAAGGTGGCAAAAAAATACACTATGTCTTCCCAGGCTTAATATTATTCCCATCTTACTGATTCGTTTACCACATTCAAGGTCTACTATCTTTTGCACTCTTTTTCGATCACTGATCTGCAAGGACTTGAAAGGAAGCACTCCAACGATTGTTTTCGCTTCGCCGGCGTTTTTCCATTCCGAACAAAGGAAACATCGAATTACGTAGCCTTTCCGTAAAGACTTTGCCTCTGATTGGCAGTGGCTCAGAAAAGGGGATTTATACATGCATTGCAAATCCCAAATTTCATCGTATCAATTGATAAAAACAGCAAAGAGAAACAAGTGAAAACGAGAACACTAAAAAAAAAAAAAAGTACTCGGGCCTTTGCTGGTCGAATCAAGGGACTGACTTCAAGCACATCGGACAACTGATCAGAGACTCAACTCCTGAAACCTCGAGGTTGTTATTCAGATCTCTGACTAAAGCTTGATTCTAAATTTAGAACCCTTGGACCTTGGACCACCAGAGGCCAAAGGTTTGTGCCCACTTCGAGAATTTGCATAACAACATGAAGTATCTAGTGTTGCCAGATGGAATGAATAGCAATCGACGATATTTTGTATAGAACGCTGGCAGATTTACACGAGATGAATAAAGTATTTGTATAGACACCCATACAATTAATTCTTTTCGTCATCGATTTTCACATTTATTGATACATATCTGAATGAAACAGATAGATGTGGAGTGCGCTTTATTGTTCGGCAGGTCAGGCCATGTTAGCGGGGTCGTGCTGAATTTTGGGTTTCAAGCATTGGTAAAACGATTGACCTGGGTACTTTCCGATAGGAGTACACGAGAGGCCTGGCTTGCATGGACAGGACTGGGGAGAGAAAAAAAAGAAATTATTAAACTCAGTTTACCATTTGCCTGCTGGCTAAATATAACAGAGTTCTTCGGCCACTATAAGGAGTGATTAACGTTTATATGATCTAACCTCACAATTTAAACTCATTTTCTGTGAGAAACCTCATAAGAATAGTGACATTTAGTAAATCGTGGGTGTTAACTGGAAATGTCACCATGAGAGTGGTAGTTGAAGGGGATTGTTCAGATCTCAGGAGTTCGAGAATCCCCAAAATTCAATAAACTTCTTGAATCAGTCAAATATAATTATAAAACATTTAGCTTTAAGAGCTCGTCCTCTGAACTGTTGAGAACAAAACTTCTGCAAACATCTTGATTTACTCACAAAGGAAGTGTTATAATGGAAAATAACTGTTCTCTGGATTCAGTGGTATAACTTGGACATAATATACGTAACACTTCAAGAATCAAAGCCAGAAAACATGAGTGACTGTTAATACACGTTTGCTTTCAGTTTTCTGTCTGATTGGTTGAGAGGAGTTTTCTACACGAAAGTCATACGCAAGTAAAACAAAGCGAATATAATCCAGCACTTCTTTCGATATTCATGTAAAAAGCTAACCGTAAGAATGAAGTCGTTACAATTTAAGATGGAACGTAAGAAAATCAAATAATAGCAGCTATATAGAGTATGCATCTGGATACCTCCGGCAAACACGCCTCTTTTTCTCCTTTTAGCGGAAAGCACTCATGGGTCAACTCAAAGCAGCAACCAGACTGACCACAGTCATCGTTGGATCTGCAATACTAACAACGAGTAAGTTTACAGTTATTACCTAAGACTCAAAGGATAAACCATGGCATTTGCATTTTTTCGGGCGTTTTTAACATGAGCCTCTGGCTAGGGAGATTAGGCTGGCTCTCCTCACGTTTTCGTTTGTCAAGTTAAAGCATTATTTGTCCATAATACCGTTTACCAGGAAATCTGTTCAGTAAAACCGATCATTGGAACATATTGATGATTTAGAATAGAAACAGTTTAGTATGCTGTTGTGCTTTGTATTAGGGCTGAGGAACAAATGGCAATCACAGTTTTAAGCACGACTATGGAAAGGGTACTCGTTAACTCCAAAGAAATTGTCTGTATTTGAAAGATGTACGGGATTTGAGGAATAAAAACAGGTATTTCTCCACCAAGCAGCGTTTTAATTTTATCTTGAAACCTTTCAGTCTAAACCTTGATCTAATACCAGCTGTTTTAAGACTGTAAACAGTGGCAGGGGAATTAGAGAGTCGTAGCATAAGGGAAAAGAGAATTTGTTATCCTATCAGACTGATATAGAATCCCTTCGGTTAAGAAAACAAGAAATTTTCTGTGCGTATTATTCATGCCCATAGCAAGACGAATAAAAGCGATCATACGAGAAAAACTCTGTTGAGATAAAAAGAATATACTGATTAACCTTATCTGTTTACCAGAAGACTTAAACTGAAAGCAATACGAACCTGAGGCATCCTTCGTTCTCTCTCATCAAGATCTGATTTTCGCTCTTTTTCATCTTGCCAGATGGAGAGTTTGCGACCTTCCACCAAGAGCAAATTTGTCAGAAGAATAAAGACGATTCGCTTCATAGTTAAATCAAGCCACAATATGCTTTTTAAGAGGAAATCAAAGCAGTCGCTAGCAAATCACAAGAAAATTCACAAATACAATGACAGCCTTTTGGATGTAAAAGATTGGCCAAACAGTACTGCTTGCCACAAAAAAGTAATGTTTAGCGCATCCAACAGTTTCTAAAAGTTTACGTAATGTTTGTACAATATTTCAATAGTGTTTTCCTCGTCTGACAATTTGTACGGAAATTGGAGAAATTTAGATTATAGAATCGGTCAGATAATTTCTGCTATTGACAAATGTATCTTTCCGTGTTTCTCAAGTGTCAGGAAACGGAATAATTTAGTGAAACATCTCCCGACATCATTTTTCAAACAAATGCACTATGCAGCCTAGAACAGAGGTCACTGATTGGTGAAATGCTGCTGTCGTAATAGGATGGCGTGATAAGTCAACTTTTAAAAGACATAAACAAGTTGATTCCCTTTGAATCATCCGACATACTGTCAATCAACTGAGTTAAAGAACATAATATTCTCAATTTCAAAAATTCTGGTGAAAAGCGTAAAAATTATATATGGCGATCGTAAACGAACTTCCTAAGACCTTGTCTGTGTTAACGACTTTAACGGTTTATCAAATGAAAAATGACAAAAGTTACATTCTTTACTCGAAAAATGACAAAAGGTATGATAACATGATATTTCCTTCATGTCAGGAGAACAATAATTTTGGTGTGAAACGTTTGCAGTGTTCAAAAGTTTATTGATATAAGTTAATTAAACTTGTTAAAAGGCAAAATCATTCTCAGCTTTATTTCGGCAAACACGGTGAACGACTTCGTTTTTATCCGATCTCTGGCCATCTAATGGACCATTTTCAGTTTACAAAGAAATTTTCCAAAAACCATAACTACTTTACAAAACATGTTTACGACCGAAAACAAAACATTAAATGACATCTTTTAGGATGTTGTTGTCACTGCTATCTTAGCCTTTTATTTCAGATTACAATAAGGCATTTTGTAAATTACTGCATCTAACAATAAGTGAGTGAGAAAGATACCATCTTTAAGTGAGGAACATTGGTTGGTTTCACGTAGGAAAGCACTAAACCACTAATCATTGATGGGCTGCTTATTATTTCGTTTTTGACGTAGAGAGACTGAATTCAGCCTGAATCGACATGAAATCTTCCCTTACTTAGCAGCAGAAGCAAACTGATTTCTTCAAACCAAGAGATTGTAAACTGCGGTTCTTATTCTCTTGTTTAAACTTAATTGCAGCTAATTTCAGGTTACTTTTCGGAAAAACTACCAGGAGCAGGTGCATTTCTTTCTGCACGATGTTAGATTATTAAAAGACTGGGTCATTCCTGGCATCTCTTGAGTTCTGAACGCTGAATTAAAAAATACAATCCAAAAGCAGCTGAATTTTATAATTTGTAAGGAAGAGATGATATCAGTGTCATGGAACTGTAACACATGATTAAATTTTATATTAGAAACCAAGTTTACAATGTTGAAAGAGATGAACTAACTTGACGAGAGTGTCGTTGCCTATTTACATAAGCTGACTGAATTTTTCGTACCTGTGAAATGAATTTGCCTAAAAAAAAATCATGGTTTTCACTGTATTATCAAATTATATTTCACAGCAAACAGTCTAAAGTGATTATTGTGACAAAAACGAAAAAGGGAAGCCGTTTGATTCTTCTAGTCCCTTTTGGTCTTATAGAAATAGGTATAGATATTACAGATATAGAAATCATTAGATAAGTATAAAAAAGAAAGAGGAGACACAAAGCCTACCATTTAATAGGCATCCTTACTATTTAGCAGTCGATATTGCTAAGGTTTTCTTCTTTGCTGGACGTCCACTACGGGAGGGGGGAGGGGAGGGGAGGGGAGAGGAGGGTGGAGTTGTTTCCAGATCCACTTTAAACTGGAGACACAAGTAGATGGGTATCGAAGGCTAGAAAAACTAGAACCAGAGAGTGAAACCAACAGAGCGCATGATTACCATTGATAAAATGATCGGTTTGCTGCTGCTCTCGCACATTTAAAGCCACTGGTCTTTCGTGTGTCTTACTCCTCGTTTACTAAAGATATCTACTTCTGGGGGGACCTTTCTTTGGAAACGAGATTTCCATTTTAGTGCGGCTATTTCCATTGACAGAAATTACGTCTATGCTAGGACTCAACTGCGGCGGCATGGTACAGCCGTCGGGAAAATTTTTTGAAATTCATTGGAACAAACAAACAAGCAAACAAACAAAACAAAAACAAAACAATTTCTTACAGGTCGATCCTTTTGAGTTCCGTTTCTCCGCTACTTTTCTTGTTTATCATTCCGAACGTGGCTGCCTACGATTTGCAATTATCATTTGAAAGATGCTACGTGTTGGGTTGAAATCTGACGTAAAATAACATCAACGAGTGAGACTGTGAATTACATCCCTTTAGGTTGTTAAACAAATCTCGGCAGAAGAAAAACTGATTTACGTGGCTGACCTCAAAAAAACTTGTAAACCTTATTGGCTTAAAAATTACATGGTAATTAGTGAAAGGTGCCTGTTACAAAGCTATAAATTATCACTCCTTTGAAATTGATCCGATACACTTGATTGACAGATGAATACTAATTACATCTCGGCGTGTTAAGCGTGAATATTAATTGAGCGTTCGATTCACTTGACAACAGATGCGCGTCTACCTGCGAAAGTTGATATTTTGGATGATATTATGCCGCCCATGTAAAAGAAAACCCACATAAGTATCTTTTCGTTAACTTCGAGGAGAGTATAACCACTTTTGAATACCTTCGAAATCACTAGCCGAGAAAAATGTCCGGGAAACCTCGATCGTCGATACCAGTGGCCGGAAGAACTAGCATTCCTATGAAAAGAACTACACCAGCAACTCCAGTAGCGCGATCAGCGTCATTAAATGCGAATTCTAGCATACCAATACCTTCAAAGGTGAGTGAAAACTTATCAAAAGAGCTGTCACGTATATTTGTGAAGTCGATCATCGTTTGGAGGACTCGTGAAATTCTTGTGATCGTTACATGAAAGTCAAGTAACAGCTACTTGACAACCGACAAATCGTAAGTTGTGTAAATAGTATACCTAACTTCACATGATGTTTGCAGGTATTTACGAAAAGATTGTTCCTTGCTCTTTTCCTGAAGCAAGACCACTTCGATCAGCACCCGCTCGAATACATTGAAACGTTCCCGTGCTTCAGAGTTCAGAGCAGAATATCGCCTTTGTTTTTGCGGAAATATTAAACCGCAATCAGGTCACTAGGTAGCGATTTTCTTACATCTATTTGCAGAAAATATGTACATCCAGTGATTTATAAAATGGGGCAGCTTGTTTTCAAATCAGTTTTTCTTGAAATAATCATGATCAGGATAAGGATTTGAGAAATAACAACGGGTAAAACAAATCAAACTTCGGTAATTTGTAAGAATGACAACACAATGCCAAAGGGTTGTCACGCAAGATTCAAGTTCTCAAATGTAAAGAAAGTTTGTATTTTATCCACATACAGTGTGATAAACTGCCCTGTTCGGTTTTGATGCTTTTGAAAGCTAACGTGAGAAGTTTCATTGCTTTATTGAATTTGGAAAAGATGCCTGTCTAAAATTAGAATTAAGCGGCTCATACAACAGTTTTGGCAATATTCAAAACATTTCCTTTGAGACATTTAATCTCTTAGGAAAATTAACTTGCTTCTTGAAACCTTTCTCAATTGCAGCCAAATGGAAGCAAAAATTCTGGGTCAGAACTTCCTGACGACCCTACACTTCTGACAGAAATGGTGTTAAACCTGCAAAAACAGATTCAAGAGAAAGATGATGCTCTGAAGGGGATCAGTGAGAAATTGTCACGCAAGTCAGAAGAATGCGAAAGCTTGATAGAAGAACGTGACATGATGAGGAGTAAAAATACGTTTGACTTGCAACAGGTACGCAGTCAGTTTTAGTTCTGCTTGTCTCATTAGTGACAGAGAGAAACTCTTGAAACAGCTTTCGAGCCATTTAATAGTCAAACGTGAAAACAAATGTGTTGGGAAAAGCGTAAAAACTCCAAGTTTTAGTCCTGATTTTAAAACAGCCAATTTTTTTCGATATGATCGCCCTTGCCTTGCCATTTCCCACGGTAATAGCCTTTTAAAATTCAGTGAGTCTTTGATGTCGATTTGAAGATTCTTCTACCATATTCTCAGCCACAGAGCCACTTTTTCTTAGATGTCATTTAAAATCGCAAGGACGCTGGAAACAGAATATCGAAGAAAGGGGGAATTCTTACCCTTTACAGATCAGGGCCCAGTTGTACGAAGGCTGATTAGTGCTAACCCAAGGTTAAATTTTAATCTGGATTTCTTTATTCCTTTATTCAAATGCTTCGTAGGGATAGTTTTCCTTGTTCTTTATAGAGCATCAAATAATCACATTCTAGACAAAAAGAATTCGACTGAATTTTTTCTTTTAAAACTGTCAGATCTGAAATCAGATTTCACACTAACCCTGGGTTATCTCAACCTAGCTTTGAACAACCCGGCCCAGTATTGCACTTTCTTTGACCAGCTAGGCAACATTTCGATTCCTATGCCAAAAAGTACTTTTAGTGACCGTTTCTCGGTGGTAGAGATATGATTATGATAAAGGCATGCGCAACAGCTTCCTATGCAATTAAAAGATCATGGAAAGACCTTGACTGGCTCGGTATGCTTCGCGCGCCTTCGAGGTATCCAAAATCACAATGTAGCCCGATATAACTCATTATTTGTCTCCAGGAATTCTACAGTTCTTTTGACGACCTTTTTTCCTATTCGTCAACGAAATTGCCTTGCCATGCCAGAACCCCTCTGACCTGGTGCAGCTGGACTTGTCTAGCAAGTTCTCAAACCACAACAACAACGAAGACAATTCTTTCTTATTGTAGGTCAGCGAGGACCAAGATGCCCTTCAGGAAACACTCAAGAAAAAAGACAGATACATACAAGAAATGGAGGCACGGCATAGGGGAGAAACTTTGGAACTCAAAAGAGAAATTGAGGAGCTAAACAGCGAAAATGAAATCGAGATAGAAATGCTTAAGAAAGAGATGGAAGACTTGAAACTAAGGGAGGAGCGTTGGAAAAGGGTCGCCGAATTAAAGAAAGAATCTGATTATGACTCAAGTGACGTGGGATCACGTGATCATTCACCCGAAGTCGAGGCTCTTAAAGAGCAGATGGCCTCGTTGCAAAGTAACTATGAAGATGAGATAACTGTGCTCAAGGAGAAACTTCAGACACAGATTTCCAAGAAAACCGAGGCGGCCGAAAAAATGGAGCAGCAAGAATTTGAATTTCAGGAGAACCTAAGCGAGCTAAAGAGTACGTTCGAGAGCGAGAAAAGCAAGCTTCTGACGGAGCATAAAGTGGAAATGGATAAGCTAAGAAATGCGTTTGATGAAAAACTGAAGGAATTGGAGACTGGTGCTGATACTTCCAGGGATTTTCCTCAAAAGAAGCAATACGAAAACCTGATTGACCAGTTACAAGAACAGGTTACAGATTTGACCAGTCAGCTGGAAACCAACGAAGCTCAAATGGCGCAGGACCTGATGATTATGAAAAATGAGTTTGAAACGCAGCTAGATGAGTCGAGGAGTGCGTTTGAAAGTGAAAAGGAGAAACTGGAGAGAACCATTTTGGAGCTCAGAACTCAAGCCGAAGACATGAACGAAAAGCATGCTAAAGATATCGAACAAATGGAGGATGTTTTCAGAAAAGAAAAGGAAGAGATCAGAAATACATCTCAAGAGAACCAGACGAAAGCTGAAAATCTGGAGGCAATGCAAAGACAGATTGAAGCGTACGAGAATGAAGTAAAGGAGTTGAAAGAAAGTCTCGAAAATGAAAGACTTGAATTTGTCGAAGCGCGTGATTCTCTAGAGGGTATGATTGCGGATCAGGAAAAGGAATTTGAAGAAAAGGAAGAAAGGCTTAGAGAGGAAATGAAAGAAGAAGAGCAAATTAAACTGGACAAGGTTGTCTCAGACTACGAAAAGCGCCTACAGGAAGCTGAGAGAAGCTACCTTGAAGGGAAAGAAGTCGATCGAACAAATCAAGAACTGCAGTTAGAGATGAATTCAATGAAGAGGCTTCATGAAAGAGATATTGAGCGACTTCATGAGAGTTTAGAGACCCTGCAAGCTGAAAATGAAAGTCTGAAAAGAGAATACGATTTGGTGGTGACAGATCTCAACAATGAACTAGACAATTCGAGGAAACCGGGAAAGCCACAGATGGAGAAGATAAAGGACAATCAAGAGGAGGAAATTCGGGTATTAGTAGAAGATATAGAATCCTATAAACAAAAAGTTACTGAGCTGAAAAGTGAAATTCAAAGATTGAAAAGTGCAGACGAGAAACAGTTTGAGACTGATATCGATTTGCAAACCAAGACAGCCGAGCTTGAGTATGAATTAGAGGTTATGAGAGAAGAAAACAGCAACAACGAAGCAGAACTACAAGAATGTAGAACAAAGATTTCAAACCTGGAGAAACAATTAGAACTTAGCAAAAGTGCTCAGGAAGAATTTGCCAAGCAAGATGAAAATAACATCTCAAAAATATCAGATCTTGAGAGCCAGCTTGATCATATTAAGGAGGAAATGGCCAATTCCGAAGCTCAAGTAGAAGAATACAAAACCTCAGTTGGTATCCTGCGTAACGAGCTTGCAAACCTTACCGAAGAAAATCAGAGATTAGATTCCGAAATAACCAGCAAAGAAGCGGATCATCAGAAGGTTACTGAAGAGTTAAAACTGAACGAAGCAAAGATTGCTGATGAAGTTGAAAGAATGCGAGATACAGTAGCAACCCTAAAAGCTGAGAAACTGGATCTTAACAATACGTTGGAGTTTCAATCTCGAGAGAACAAGCTTCAGCTTGAGAAACTTACGGAAAAACTCGAACAAATGGAAAATGAAGGCAAAACTTTTAATGAAGCCCACATGGAGTCGCAAGGAGTTATCACAAGGCTTAATGAAAAAATTGCAAAGCTTACAGATGATTGCGAGAAATTTAAAAACGAAAAGGCTTTGCTTCTGCAAGAGTTACAGGATCTCAGGCAAGGCGTCATGGAAGGGGATTCTGAAAGAGAGAGACAAATTGCAGAATACCGAAGTGAGATGGAAAAGTTATCTGTGAAGATTGAAAGCTTGGAAAATTACAAGAAACAGGCAGAGATCGAGAAACAGGATCTCCATGAAGAAATTGAGAATCTTCGTCAAACTCAAAGCGTGGAGCCGATGATTTCTTTGGCAGCAGTCGATGAAACCTTCGCAGCGAATCCATCGACTGGCTTGGGTCTAGAATACGAGCAGCAGATGAAAGGACTTGCAGAAGATTACGAAGAAAAAATTGAGAAGCTCGAAACAGAGCTCGAGGAAGAGCGAAGTAAGTCAGCTTCAAAGACAAGGAGAATCGAATCCATCAATATGGAGATTGAAACCTTGCGCCAAAATCTTGAACAAGAAAGACTCTTAGTTAAGAATGCCCAAGAGCGCATCCTCAAAATGCAGGAAAGACACGACGAAGATCTTAGGAACTTAAAAGATCAGTTAGCTATAAATGCCGAGAGCAACGAAGATGTAGTTTCCTCGAGGGTAGAAGCCGTAAATGAGCAGTTTACAAAAACAATCAGAACTCTCGAGGCCGACCTAGAAACGGCACTTCAAGCTAACCGCGAGCAAGCCGAAAGCATCACCGATTTGAAGACCCAGTTAGAAAGAGCGCGCCATACTAATTTAGCACAAGAAGCAGAAATCACAAAGCTCAGTCAAGAACTTCACGAGTTTCGACGACAACAAATAGCACATAAGGCAAGCATCACTGCGGAACAAGTCATGGCAAGAGAAGAGCATACCAAAGCGGTCGAAACTCTTAAAGCTGACTTGGAAGCTGCTCAGAGGCTGCATCAGAAACAACAAGACGAGATAACCAGACTCAAGCAAGAAATGAAGGAGTTTGAACAGCAACGATTAGCGCATGAAGCTAACAGAACAGCAGAACATCTGACTGTAACTGAAGGGCACGCAAAGGAGGTTACAGTGCTAGAAGCAGACCTTGAAGCCGCGAAAGAACTGAACAAAACTCAACAAGAAGAAATACACGAGCTAAAACAAGAGCTAGAGGATTTTCAACAACGGCAGATAGCACATGAAGCTAATCTCACGTCGGAGCAACTCAAAATAAGTGAATCTCAGAAAGCACAAAAACAGGAACTTAAAAAGAAAACGAAAGAAGTTGCCACCTTGAGGTCCGATTTGGAGGAAGCGCAGCGAACGAATAGAACACAATTTGATGAACTTACAAGAATAAAAGTTGAACGCGATGAGCTTCAGAAATCACAGAAACGCTTCGAAGAGAATTTCCAGAGTGAAAGGTTCAAAGCAGACGAGGCAAGCGAACGGAAAATTAAAGCTTTAGAAGGGGAAGTTCGGAGAAAGACAGAAGAATTATCGAAGCTGTTCTCTGTGCTCGACACGGAACAGAAGGGGCGAGAAAGAGTATTATTGGAGACGGAGAAGCATTTGACGCATATGCATCAGGCGGAACAGGATAAAATTAAGTCAGAGAGAATCATCTCTGAGCTGAAGAATGAGAACCAAGTACTTCGAAGCGAGCTGATTCAAGAGAAAGAACAATTTGCGCGCTATGTTTCTCAGAGTAAGAAAGCGCAATCTGACGAGCATGAGGAATGTGAGAAGCTCAGTAGATCATTAACTGAATCTGAGATGGACAAAGGAAAGCTGGCGGACGAGATAGAAACGTATAAGGATGAATTGAACAAAATGCAGGAGAAGTACAACAAGCTTAAAGAGAAGTTTTTAGCTTTAAAGCAGAAGCGGAAAGAGGAAAAGGAAAAATTCGACGAGATTCTGCTTACACCGAGACTCGAAATGGGATTACAGACGAGTCTTCTAGAACCTGAAGATCTCAATCAAACAAGAGAACAGCTCTCGTCGTCAATGAGAGAACAAGGTCGGCTCGAAGAAGAGCTGGAAGTTCTTCAGAGAGATCTCTATAAAAAGAAAACTGAAATTCAAGCTCTGAAAAGAGCCAATGAGGTGTTAAGAAGGCAAAATCAGGTTCTGTATCTTGAAACGGAGAGCCTAAGAAGATCTGGTCATACCGAAGGAATTGACGTTCCTGGAATCCAAAAAGAGAATGAACAATTGTTGCAAGACAAAGAAAATCTGGAGATAGAAAATCGATATTTAAAAGAGGCTTTAGTCGTGAGAGAAAAACAGGAGGAAGAAAGCAGAGAAAAAGAGAGTATGTCGGATAACTTTTCAGAGACTGAGTTACGAGATCTGAGGGAGAACCAAGCGCGAATTGAACAGGAAAACTCAAAGTTAAGTGAAGAGAACGAATTCCTGCTAAAACAGGGCAAGCGTTTGCAATCTCAAGTCGATCAACTTGAGGACGAAGTTCAAAGGATGAAGCTTCAAACTCCTATGACTTCAACACCTGCGAACGAGGGTGCGTCTCAACCTCTCGTCAGCGAACTGATCCAGAGCGAGTCTGGAAACCTGTTTAACGTGGAGTCATCGCCTGCTACCTTCACGGGTCCTTCATTGAATACTTCCCTTGAAGCCCAGAGATTCGTAGAGGAAAATCAACGAATTAAGGAACAGATGCTCGTGTTACAAGGACGTTTAAGATTAAAAGAGAACGAACTTCAAGACACAAACAATTCGCAAACTGGAGCAATGGACGATTTGATAAACGAGAGGCAAGTTCTTCTTGCTCAAATTGACTTAATGAAGGGAGCGCTTGAGAAATATGGAGAGAAAGGATTCACTGGCCAAAGGGTAAATATTCTAATAGGACTATTTATTCAGAAATAAAAACTTCAGATTTTAGTCTACAAGCTTAAGATACAAGTAAAAATAAGTAAAAATTGGATATTAACTTATTCTCTTTTTGCTCACTTACATACCTTAGCAAGAGATGATAATCTCTTGACCTTAGGCGAGATTTTTTTTTTAAAAAAGGTTGCTTGATTTACGAAACGAGTGACGCATCGTCTATCGCGCTCTTCCGCGTTATATATCAAAGCGTTTAAAATTGTGTGAATATCTATACAGATCTAATTGAAGAATGCTTGTCTATTAAAAAATATCTTGGTTGTTCGCAGTAATACCGCAATCTGTAATGCTTCATTTACAGATCGTCGACTGGGATACGAACCAGAGAGAAGACGCTGCTAAGGAAAACGTTTTAACACCCTCGTCCTTTACACCAAGAACTATTCAGAATCCCCTATCAGGATTTCCCGTTTCTAATCTTCAAACCCTGGACTTCAATGAGGAAAATTACCTTGGATCGGCTTACTGGGAAGCTACAAAGTTTCTTGACAGATTACAACAAGTCAACTAATGACCGGCTTTTATCCTTCAAGACATCTTTCAGAGCTTTGTTGGGAGAGCACAAAATGCACATTGCGCACGTCGCACGAATACCCTCAGCTTTACTGACTGATTTTTTCCCATGAATCACTGCTGGTTTGTTGCTGCTAATAAAAATTGTTTTAAAACAGAGATTTCAGTCACGACCCATATCGTGACTCTCCATTCCAGAAATATTCCCTACTGTTACTCGCTGTTGAAACAGAGTTCACTATCTCAAATGCAAGAAACATTAAGTTTTTATTAATGAAACTATCGGTAATAATTTCCTCAGTTACATCACTAGTACGAAAATAAAGGTTGGTAATCCTCTGTAATTTATTATCACTCTTTTTTTGTTACTGTTGCGGAATGTATTAGCCCTTCTGACAATTTTACGTGACAAATAACCTGTACTGTTGTATATCTAGACTTTCACTCAACAAAACGGACACCGTGACTGGTTTATTCTTAGTCACTTGCCCCTGATCAAATTCAAATGTATCCCGACTGGGATACAATTGCGTAGTTGTTGCCCGCGCGCACCATGTTTTTGCCATATGATTGTTTAAGGGAAAGTCTAAATATATAACAAAGAACTTAATGTATAGTCCCACGGAAAACTAGTTAGTTTTGTTCTCCCTCGAGTCCTGATGTTTACCGAGACGAAGTCGAGGGAAACATCACGACTCTCGGCAAAACAAAATTTAACTGTTTCCCTCAGGACCATTCATCAAGTGTATACTTTTACACGGTCCCATTACTTTGAGTTTACAGTTACACTGAGGTTTGGTCAATTTACCCTTGACATGTTCATAGGGGAGCAAGGCTTGTGACCGTCTGTGTATCACCTAACCACCTTAACTAGCTAACTAGCCCGACAGCGAAAAGGACTGGCGTATTTCTATGCTCCTTTATCGCCGTTCGGTTGTAATATTATGTCTCTGGGATAAACTTTGGGCAACATATCGAAGAACAATTCAGAAGGAGACCGGAGTATAGCAGCCAAAATCTTGCCTTTCACCCTTGGCTCGCCTGCAGCACTTAGTGCTACATTATTAGCGTCACGGCCTCAAAGGACATGTAGCGTCCCATTGGTTGACGTAGAGTTAAATGACGGTAGACGATGACCAGCGTTTAAAAAGAGCACCCCAATCAAACCCGTCTTCTTGTTCCTAAATAATGCTGACCGCGCTTGGACCGTATGCATATTCTCCACACAGCCCTCTGTACATTTTATATGGTACTCACAGAGAGAAGTTGCTCAGCAATCGAGAGCGTCAATAGTTAGCGATCATTTTCATCACTCTCATGATCGTAGGTTCGATTAAGAAATAATTAGGTAACCACGGTGGACCTGGTTACTTCATCATACACAGATCGGTAGACGAGAGAACTGACTTATTACCCGATGGCGTATCTGAGGGAGGGGCCCGGGCCCCCATTATTATGGGTGAAAAAAAATCGTAGAAGGAAGAGAAGCTGGCAAAAAACCGGGCCCTCCTCCCTTGGCTCAAGATCTGGATCCGCCGCTACTGTCTGCCTGATTGTTTGGTTAATGAAGTATGGTATAATTATCACTTATTGAATGAGTGAGATCATGCAAGGTTTAATTGTCTGAATCGACGAATCAATGATAATAAGTGGATTTCAAACAAAACCACACGACTCATACCAAAATCAACAGAAAGATTGATTGCTTGCTTAATTGGTTGATAGATGAAGTAAGGCACAACGTTAACTGACTATTTGATGATTGAATTAATATATCATGAAAAGTTTGATTTTCTGAATTGATGAATTAACGATCGAGTGGATTTACCTGGTATGAAAAAAATTAATGATAGATGGATTGACTGACTTAATAAATGAATGATTTAAGGTGATTCTACATGTCAATTCTATACACTGTAGAACGATGGCGAAAAAAGATTGATAGCTTGCTTGCTTGATACATGAAGTATGGTACAACCATCACTGATTGGTTATTTAGTAGGGTCAGTGAACATATCACGCAAAGTTTGATTGATGGATGAATTGACTGACTTAACAAATGAATGATTTAAGGTGATTCTACATGTTATTTCTATACACTGTAGAATGATGGCAACAAAGATTGATAGCTTGCTTGCTTGATAGATGAAGTATGGTATAACTATCATCAATTATTTAATCAGATCAGTAGAGCCAGTTAAAGCATCATGCAAAGTTTGATTGATGGATGAATTGACTGACTTAATAAATAAATTATTTAAGGTGATTCTACATGTTGTTTATATACACTGTAGAATGATGGCAACAAAGATTGATAGCTTGCTTGCTTGATAGATGAAGTATGGTACAACTGTCACTGATTTATTAATCAGTAGAGTCAGTGGAAGTATCATGTAAAGTTTGATTGGTGGATGGATTGACTGACTTAATAAATTACCCATTTAAGTTGAATCAACATGTTGAATCCATACACTGCAGAATGATGACAAGAAACACTGATAGCTTGCTTGCTTTGTAGATTAAGTATGGTATAAATAAAACTGATTGATTAATTAATAGATTGGGTGAAAGAATGATTCACTGCATACAGTCTGATGAATTGGGTTGATAAGTAATCATCATGGGCAGATTTATCCACAAAAACCAAATGATTAAAATATAAATGCAGATTGAGGGCAAACAGACGAACAGATTGATTACTTGTGCAGCTACATGTGAATTTAATGCATGGATGACTTCTAACATCCCGTATATACAACAGTTACAGAAGGGAACAACACTTCATTTATTATAAATCACTGATTGTAGCTAATGACACAATTTGAAGAAATTTTTCCTAGGCAATTGTGTTGTCATTCTCACTTCATAAAAAGTATTACTTCTAGTTACAAGTTTATGTTTCTATAATTTACAATTACAGCTTATTAAAAAAAATTCCTCAATTATGCAAGTTTGCAGGCACAAGGCCGGAAAAACATTTGAGGAAAGACAGGATACGAGTATCTTAATTTTTCATTTCAGAGGAGCAGGTAATGGTGGCCACTGCACACTTTAAAAGAGAGAAAAATGAGGGGACCTCTTTAAAGAAAAAGAAGGGAAAGGGCACATCCAAGCAAAGTTCAGTGTTGTGAGGAAACAAATATAAAACAACTTGTAATGTAAAGATGAAGTGAAGCAAACATTCCCCAAATGAACACATCACTTTGCATTTTAAAAACAAGCTGGGAGTTATTTTCAAATTGTACCACTGACCCCAGGATTAAGGACATTAAATAACTACCTGTTTTTATCACAGGCAGGCCATGTAAAATATCACATTAAAGTGGACAATTAAAAGAGGAATTCTTTGTCTATCCTCTCTCCACATGGGATGAACATACCCAAAATGAACAATTACTTTAATTTGTAACAGCTAGAAAATAATGCACTGGACCTGCTGAATTTTAGAACATGCTAAAAATCCTGAGGAAAAAGTATTTTGTTATTTCACAAACATACATACAGACATACATACATACATAATAGAAGTATTTATTTAAATATATATGTGTGTATGTGTGTGTATACATGTATAAGTAAATTGTACATATACATGCAAGTTGTAAAATGGAGAGGTAAGTATCAATCCAAATTAGTCAAATTTTCTAGGGTAAGACTTTAGAAATCCACTCTCTTACATCTCTCATTTCCTGAAAAGAAAGCCAAAAAACTTTTTACTTAACAAAGAAGGAGCACCAAAATTAATTTATCTCAACAATTAATGCATCTTCAAGTAGAAATACAATGAGAAGCACAAAAAAAGAATAATTACAATAATAGCAACTAAAGGATTTTGTTCAATTTAATACCACATTATCAGGGTCCAGTTGTATAAAGGGCAGATAAAGCTATCGAATGGATAAATCACTATCCGGCAAATAAGCAATAGCAAAACATGTAGCATTATCCACTGGATAGAGTTTTATTCAGTGGATAACACTATCCAACCTTCAAACAACCGGGGCCAGATCTAAAATCATAAGAGAATTCATTAGAGAGCATATAACTGGCCTTTTGGAAAGGTGATATTTGATCTAGGGAGAGAAAAGGTTAGGACATCATGTGACCATTTAGCAGCTGTGAAACCATTTCCAGTTTGAATTACACCCACTTGACGAGCAAAAAAATTAAAGCAATAACTATCTCTTATTCATTTTTCCTCACCTGTGGACTTGAGCTGTGAGATAATCCAGAGTATGATTTAAACTCGTGTTTTGAACAAAGTTTATGTAAAACTTCATTTGTCATTTGTCCAAAAGCATAAGCTACAACTGGGTCAGCCGTTCCTGCAGGAGAGAAATAGAGATTATTCCATGGACAGTGCCCACAAAGGATTTTTACTCACAAGTTGTGACACACATAAAAAAAAACAACAACAACAATCAAGTGAGCAGAGCAAAAGAGCATGTTTTTTAATGCATTGCAAGAGTGAATTAAAAGTTCACACTCTTTTCATGGTATAATGATTTTGTTTCATACATACTAAGATTTATTCATACTGACCAACAAATTTCAAAGACTGGAGGCTATTTCAGTGCAAGAGCAAATTTTATTATAAAAACCACCAAATTCACAACATGGAAAGATATTTAGTCTCTGCTGACAACTATATATTTTTTAACAAGATAATCTGGAATTATATATTGTGTTGCTATCATAAATCAGACACTGTAAAGAGTTTCACAACATCAGCCCTTTGTCAGAGGGAATGAAGGAATTGTGGGCTGTGTGTGTGTGTGTGTGTTTACATGCAGAAAATGGAGTTATGCTATTGGTTGGAACAAGGTTACGAGTGAGACAAGAATAAATTAATTGAATGAAGATTGTTGTTGATACTGCTGGGGATTAAGAGTGTCAATTTGAAAGTTAAATTTTTTTCTACAATTTGGCAGCTTTCCGCATGTGTCTGATTGGATGAACAATGTACTTTCATAGTCCTTTGTTTTTCAGATTGTTTGGTTGTGTATTTCATAGGCTTTTTTTATATGTAAATCAAATTAGATATGAAATAAATCACACTATCATATCATACCGTTAAATTGTTAGAATATAAATGTACTATCCTATTTTTTTACCCTTTAGAATACAAATAGGTGTAAAAGAAAAAACTTCAGCAGATAAATCTCTTTTTTTTCAGTCCTAAATTAGCCTATCAATAGGTAAAGGTAGTAAATGAAGTTTCCAAAATTTGAGCAAAACTTCCTTGGTACATTAGTTACAACCAGAAGCTACTAATTAAACCCTTTGACTCTCACGAGTGACCAAGACAGAATTTGTCTTTACAATATCAATGCAACATCAACCAGATAAGTGATGAGAATAAAGAAAAATATCCATTTGGGGATAATTAGTTGATCCAATAATAAATTCTCTGAACTAACATTATAAGAATTGTAAGGTGGGCAATAAGGAGAATTACAAATTTGATCTGGGAGTTAAACAATTAAGAAAAGTACCCACCAGTAATGACAACTTACCATGACACTGAAGTATTGGGATGTCTTTATTTTCTTTAAGAACCTACATTTAGACAAAATCAGTTTCTTCTGAAATTGACCATAACAAGGTACATGTTGAAAGTAAATTAACAGAGAGACACTCATGACATAATTTCAATTTTCAAATAACTGATAACAAATATATTGCAAACTATTTCAAACAGGAATTTAGATACATAAGATGTGCAACATGAAACTATGTTACTTTTTAGTAGAGCTAAAAAGTAAATGTGGTTCATATTTTTTTTGGTAATTTTGAAACAGAGCTCCCCCAACTAATTGTTGGCCAATTGTTCGTAAGACTTTGGCAGACAAGCTCCTGACAAGCACCCAACATGCTACCAACAGATCAATTCAACAATACATAACTTAAAGATAATGTACTACAAACAGTAAGTGAGCTTATCAGTCATGTTCAACAACAGCCCATGGAAAAAAACACATTTCATCATATGTTAGAAACAGACTCTCAAGCATTGCCAAGTCAAGAGAGGTGTACACTTTGCATACTTTCAGTAGTTGAAAAAAAATTCAACATGGGAAATGGTTGTCTGAAAACAGTTGGCTGACAGATGACCAACAGCTTTTTCAGGGAACTCTTCAAATTAGTAACTTTTCTACCTAACAAACACAAGTATCCTGACAAACTAAATTGAACTAAAACTGAGGAACAAAGGTCACTCTACATTTTATTCATACTTAAGCATATATTTTCAATGAGATTTGCAAAGTTAGGACAATTTTCATATAACACATTTGTACAACTTGTGGGAAAAGCATTATTCACCTGTGTGGTTTATACTAATGATAGACATATTCTGATCAGGAAAATCAAAGGTGTTGAGTGTTTAGCTACCATGGTCTAAAATTACTCTACATCACTCTACCTCTGGAAAGGTCTTATGAAGAGGCAGCCATGAGCTTAGGGCCAAGATACCAGCTAAAGGTTTCTCCATGGTAAGAGCTGTATATAGCGCAAGAGCACCACCCTGTGAAAAACCACCTGGAAGGCAAGACAACAAATTAAGAGTGGTCTATAAAATAACAGTAAATTAAGTGTGAATTGTTTCTTGATCTTCAATCCCTGATACCAATTCACTAAGAGAATAAGAAACGTAGTATAATGATAACACAGTCAAGACTCAAGTGACATATCCTATGATCAAAAGTAGCCAGCTTCATGTAATAACTTACAGTAATTTTCTTCTAACTCATAATGCAAAACCCTCAGGTTGTGTGAAATGGAGTACACAGTATATGTGTGCTTGTAAATATATGTGTAGATACTGTACGTAAATTACCTAAAACGATGCGATCTGATGGTACCCCACTTTTAATCTCCTCATCAATAATTGATTTGACTGGAAAAAAGAAAATAAATTCCTTGTTCATATAACATCACACATGTTGAGATCAAAATGTTGAGCCAACACAACCCTCATACAGTGTACAGCACTCCAACATAACTTGTTCATAGTGTAACAAATGTAAAATTTCAAAATGGTTTGTAGTACAACTGGTTTCAAACTATGTCAGTTTTCATTTGTTTAAGTATTATGGTAATGTATCTAGAACAAAGGATTGAGGGAAAAAAAAATTAAACATGTAAATAAATTGTTATGACCAGAAATTTATCTAATTACCATCAACACATGCACTATTCATCTTCAGTTAATAGGACCACAGTTTAAAGAAAAATTTTCATATCATTGTAGCCCCCTATGAGAAATGATTATGTACTCACTTCTTTCAGCAGCAGTTTTAATCCCTTCTTCATCTTCACTTCCAGAGAAACTTAATGACCTAATATCAAACCTATAGGAGATGGAAGTATATAATCATGAAGTATACAAACCTGACAACACAGCCTGCATAAAATATTATCTAATTATCAATTGGAAGCATACATATGTAGTTAAATATTCCCAAAATGATGGCCATAATTGTTAGACATTACATAAAAATAACACACAGCAATAAAACAAAACAGCTGTGGATTGTTAATTAACTAGATGCATATTTGCATTCACTCAGGCTTTCTGTTGGAAATAAACTTTGCTTTTTGTGCTTGCATTTGCCTAAGTTTTTTTAATGCAATTATTGGTTTATCCTGTAATTGTTTTTTTATCCGGGTATGCCACAGATGCAGGTGCATGTACCTGACATGACATTCAAATATCTTGAAAACAAGGATAGCTACACAAGCAAAGGCAAGAGTCATCACTTTTCATCCTACAATTTGGAACTAATGACCACAATTACACAGGAGACTTACCATGAAGGCATTCGGAACCCTCCATTCAATGTCACAGGATTGACAGGACTGGAAAATAACAAAACAGGACATTTGAGTGTGCTTCTTTTAACAAGCAACTGAAGAACAAGTGATACACCTAGTGACAATGTGCTATTAAGGAATTTGGATATTCAACAGAGAGACTCTTGTACCCTTGTAATTTAATTTCATGCTGGCATCAATTTTTATTGCAATGGCCATATGAGAGCAGGGACACAGAAAATGTACCTAAATCCACCAAAAGCAATGGAACATGAACTTTTGAACCCACAGAAACACTGCACACATTTCCTAGGGGAGTTTGTGAAAAGAATGAAAGCAGCCTGAAATGCATCTCTACTACAATATCAAAGATCCTATATAGATTCTTGAAAAGTGAAGCAATTGACCATGAAGACAAACAGCATGGACAAAACATGCAAAGCATGGTTTCAAGAGCATCACGATTTATTATGGCTTGAACTTACGCATTGGGGCAAATGTATTTCACATGAGGTGCTCTTATTTCCTCAAAACCAGCACTCCAGCCATGTCTAACAGGAGGAAAAAAGTCTTAAAATAATTATCACTTGTTCTATCCATAACCACATGTACCCTAGTCATAATCATGCAACCAAAGAAACATTTTTAGTAAGCTTGGCTTCATTTAGCACTTCTGTCCAAAACTAATTGCTTGAAAGTCTGCCCAAGTTGCTAGGTTTTTTTTTTCTTCACTCCATATTCAACATAATTATGCTACTGTTTACACATTAGCCTTGCTTACATAAACTTAAATTAATGGCTTGATGCCTACTGAAAGTACAAGGAGCAAGTACATGCATCTTATAAAAGCTAGTTAATTGAAATGGATTCTCCATTACTGAGAAATAAAGGAGAAGTACAAAATGTACACCCCAGATTAAGGTTCATCACTCCAAACAAATAGAAGGTAGATAAATACTGTACAGTCATGAGGCTGGGTGCATTTAACACTTTTAGAGACCTTCCTAAACTGATAATATTGGCCATTATAAGTGGCAAATATTTGTTTTATTTTTTATCTGACTCACAGAGTATCAAAAAGTTAAAAGATCACAAAAGAGTGTTTAGCTTGAACTGATTTATAGTCTGGGCAGGAAAACAAGATGCTAAACACATAAAAGCATCCCCTCACCTGCGTAAAATCAATGCACTATAACACATGAAGCTTGTATACATTTCTTCAATAATCACATTTAACCATAAAATAGAAACAGTCTCAGAACATCAACATTTGTCTTACCCAGTGTCTCCAAGCCCATGAAGAAATATCAACTGAAAAGAAACCAAGGTTTAGTTTAAAATTTGTTATCAGATCTGAAAGGTCACAAAGAAAATTCATCAGAATTCTTTTTGCCTTCAATTTTATAATTGGATGCTCTGAAGGGAAATAACAGAAAGAGTCTTTTGAACAAAGGAATAAAGATTTACTTGTATTAAAATTTGACCCTGGGTTGGTACTGTAGCCAATGCACCTTTGAACATCTAGGTTAAGGAGAAATGTGACCCTTTAAGGCAAAACAGACACTAACGGAAAACCGTTCAAATGGCAAAAACACATGGATGATGAGTGGTTAATGAGCAGTCCTTGAAGTGTTTGAACAGTTTGCCTAACCGTTCAAACAGATGAATTATTTGAATGGTTTGGTCAGCCATTCGAACGGATGAGTAAAAATTTCGAACGGACAGGCAAACCATTCAAACAGGTGAATAAATTATTTGAACAGTTTGCTTAGCCATTCGAATGGATGAGTAAAAATTTCAAATGGACAGGCAAGCCATTTGAATGGATGAAAATATTATTAATCCGTACAATTGGTTGTATAATATGTTTACCAATCATACGGATGATTAAATTGCTTAAACGGCATTCTGAGCACATGGCTTGATCATGGAACAGGAAATGTTGCTGTGTATTGTTTTCATTTCATTTTGTTGTTGTTGTCAATTTCAAGGCCTTTATTCTCATGATTGAAAATTGAGACTATTTCAATTTCTCATCAAAATAACATTTTTAATCATTGTCTGAAACTACTGAATATCTCATGAAAGGTGTTTGTCATCATAGTTTAAAAATGACAGCTGAGTTAATCTTTTGTATCACAATTTAGTCACAAATATGTGGATCGCGACATTCTGACTGCTATACTGAATAACTGTAGAGAAACAACAAGTGCAATTTTCTCCTTTCTGAGTCTGATTGAATTAGCCTGGATAAGTAAATATTTCTACATGATGTCTCCAATAAGCAATTTTCCACAAGCTACAGGTCTACATTCTTGTAAATATAGTTGACAGTCCCATTAGACATTTGAGGCAGTTTGAGAAATCATTGAGTAAGGTTTACCTTTAGTCAACAAACACAGGCACAAAAGCTTTGCAAAACCAACCTTCTACACACCTCATTCATTTAAGGAGCGTCTTCGTTAATTTTAAAGATTCAAATTGTACCAACACAAGAAGTTCAAAAAAAAAATGAGTTATATGGATGAAGCTCTCTCCACAGTCCCTCATAAACACCACTGCTCTAAAAGTACTCATCAGTGCCTTAATCAACTTTCAAATTAAGTCCCTACTAACATATTCTAATTTGTAGCCAGTTGTTACAATGGACATGTATTTTTTAATACTGGAATTTCAACCCTATATAATTCTATGAAAATTGAAATATCTCTAGCCATTCCCCCAGTCCAAATTCTGAGTTAAAACATTATTCCTATCTATTAAAAAGCTTGAGTATATTCATACATGAACATTTACAAAGTCAAATGCACCTGCCTTGGCCAACATACCATACCATCCAGTGTGTACATTATGTTGTAGTCCATGCATAAGTTTTTGGACGATATGATTTAAAACTACATGTTGTTTGATTTCTATTTTGCTTTTGCATTATGTTCTGGTCTAAACATGAATTTTGGGTCAAAATGATGAAAAACTACTTGTAGTTTGACTTGCATTTTGTTTTTAAAGGGATAAAGAAACATTGAAGGAAAGTGTATACATGTAGAAAACACATCTGAAATAACTCTTGCCAACCACAAGTTCAGGTACTAGCATCCTTGAAAATAAATCATTTAATGTGGCAGCCATTTCCAATAATCAACTATCAATACCAAAGTACACTGTAATTTCATATTCATATTGTCACAAAAAATAGCCTATGGTTGGTTTTTATGGGTGAAGAAGCTTTGCAATAAGAGATGTTTGAAACATACTCTGTTGTCATTCAAATGAAGGTATAATCTACATTAATCTAGGATACATTGGATGGTTTACAGGAAAGCTGTTTATTTTGCATAGCTGGGAAAATACATATTGTGTTTTAGGGATCTGAACCGATCTTGTTTATACTGACAATTTTTTCACACATCTTAGTTTGTCCTTAGGGCTCCAATACATGTATGTAGAGTGTGCTCGTATCAGAAAATTATATCAATTTTTTCCTTGTTTGTTGAAAAACGAACCATTAAAGAAAAAAAAACTGGTAGAAACAAAAGAATGAATTATGGAACAGCTGGACAAGGCGGAAAAAACCCTTGCATATTCAGCCAGCACTTAACTTTGATTATCTCGATTAGTAAACAACATCTCAAACACATTCTGAGCCGTATGAACTTTGATTCGTCCCTCCTCACGAAAATTTCTTTCGCCCATAATGCACCCAAACAACATCTTTACAAATCTCAATTCTTCCAATTTAGAGAGAAGCAAGTGTTCAAAATGCTGTAGAAATGAATCGTGTGTTTCAAGTCCTCAGCTGCGAAGGGCTTCGTTAAATTACAACGATGAGGAGATTTCACATTAAAACAAATTTGTATTTTGACTCCTCGAATTTCTTGACTATTATTTTTGCCTTTAAACGACAGTTTAGGTGAACTAGCAAAAAACTGAAACATTCCCTCGTACGTGCTCAGGAAGATTATAAATTAGCTTTTAAAATACGCCTTAATTTGGCTGGAAAAATAAATGAGATGGTAAAGAGCTTGCTATAGCTACTCACCGAAGCCGTATGTTTGGCGGTTGCTTGGACTATTATGGGTGCCATGAGCGACATCTCATTGGAACCAACACAGGATAAGATGAAGAAGCCGGACAAAAGAAGAAACAAGCGATAAGTGTTAAGGAAGAATGTAAACATTCAACGAAAACCGCAACATGTGCTGAAGCTGCAAGAGGAGTGACTCAAGATTTATCACTGCGCAAAGTGTCCTCACATTTGATGACATTAACGCACAGTATCACAAACAAAACCGCAAACCTAATTACTGGCAGATTCAGAAACCAACATGGCGTCCTCGAATGCACGAAATAGCACAGAGAAAGAGCGAATAAGTCGGAAAAGAAAACGAAACAGTGGTATTCCAGGTTTTGCACCAACTTCATCGTCAACACCTGCGGTAAACTCTCAAGCTCCGAGATCAATTAACGTAGAACAATTCGCTGAAGCTCGCGCATTGGAAATCAAGAACATGGTAGCAGCCATCACAGAAGCTGACAAATCTAAAGGGAAGCGTGTGTTTCAAACCCTACCAAACCACATGAGGAGGAGAGCGATGAGCCACAACGTCAAAAGAGTGCCTGTTCGTCTCCGGCAACGTGCTTTGTATGAGGTAAGAACGAAAGGGCAATGTCGCCTTATATTTAGCATTGAGCTTTAGAAATGCTGGTGTTTGTGCACGTGGTGTTCAAAACAAGGAAGTCTGCAATGCTGCATGGGCTTTTTTTTTGTTTTGTTTTGTTTTTTCTTCAGGAATTACCCGACCATTAATCTCGATGAAAGGTTGTGTTTGAATTTTATGACTAAAATATTGTGTGGTCGTGAATGCAGCCTCAAATGTAAGGCATAAGATTCAGCTTCTCTAGGATTCAGTGGAAATCTTTGCAGGCACGTTTCCATTTATTTTTTACCAATATCCATGAGTGTGTCCTGAGCAGGGGCTACATGGGGTTAAACATTTAAAATTGAGGCTGTATACACCAGGGTTAGGGTTCCAGGAGTGGTCAACTGGACATAGAGCTGCGTTAAAGGAAGGGGGATACATCAGGGAATAATTACCAAATAAGGGAGAGGGTAGGAATGATTGAAAGGGTGGAGTGGGATAGTACAGGAAATATGAGCCCATGAGGAAAGAGCTAGGAATGAGAGGGAAAGGAAGTGAAAGGGTGTGTAGGAGATGGTAGTGAGAAACATAGGAGGGAAGACAGGGGGCTAAGGTGAGGAAGGCATAAGAGGAAGGTATGGGAATTAGTGGGTTTTACTCCTTCCTTCCTTTATGGGGAGGAGATACAGCAAAAAGGAGAAGGAAGGAGTGCAGAATATCCAAACAACCTATGGAGAAAGATGAAAAATTAGTTAAAAGACTTCTACAAGTTACCTATTATTTCCATTGATCAACAAATGAATTATTTCATTCTTTTTTGTATTTTCGGAAATTAAATACCCACAGCAAATTGGGATCCTCAGGAGGACCAAATTACTAGTCTTTAAATATGTATATTTAGAAGAAACTGATAATCACCTTGATCCCTAGATGCATAACTCAAGCAGTAAACCTGAGGGGCAAAAGAAAAAGAGTAGGTATCATCGCCGTCGGCCCAAAAACCTGCTTGAAGAATACACTCGTCGGCAGCGTAAGCATGTCTGGCTTGAAACACACATCTGGCATGCAAAGCGGATGAAAATGATTGATACTTGGGGTTACAGGCTTGCTGATCATCCCAATGATAAAGGCTACAGAGCAAGTTATAGAGCCACTAAGAACAACTGCATCTTACAGGTAAACACATGTTTGGATGAATGAAGTCTTGACCCTTTCAACTCTATTTCAACCATATGAGTATGTTTTAGAACAAAAGGTAATAACAAAGAAGTAAAATATCAACAATGGGGCTATTGTTTAAAATAAGACTAAATTGTCAGAACTAAAATTAGACCTAGTATAAAATGGAGTATTGATATTTTAGGATCTTGGAAGTTAAAGAGTCAAACATTAATTTTTTAGTCTCCATAAGCATGGTGGCATACATGTCAGAATTTACCACAGCTTCAGTACAGTTATCAGACTTGAAACAGTTTAATTTCCTTAGGAAGGATTAGCAGTTCATTGTAGGTTTTAAACTCATGACTGGAATGTTTTTCCTTCACCACCTTAAAAATACAAACAAATTAAAAAAAAAGACATAACTGTGTCAGCTAAGTAAGCCAGTGCATGTTTGGTTTACAATAAATATATAAAGTGTACATTTCCTTCATGTGTTTGGTAGGATTTGTCTTATTATGGATGCATTGAAGTAGTTGGTGTCCAGCACCAGATTATCAAGGCAATGAATCACTTGACAAGTCAAGAAGCAGGTTTGTATATTGAATACATTTAGAATGTTTCTGAGCAGGTATAGTAAAATAGATACAAAAAACCAGCAGAAAAATAAATTAGCTATTTGCCAGTCATGGTTGGTCTACAGATCTTAGGAGTGTAATGGTTGGTAGGTGTCTATCTCAACAGGAGTTGAGTGAAAGTGTATGGTGTCTTGTGAGGTATAAACCAGTGTATTGATTTAATTGTTTTTCTCCATGAAACAACTGACAATAATTATGGTATCAATGAAAAACAAGAAAAAAATTGCTCTTAATTGTAAATTCAATCTTCCTTTCTCCAGGTCTGACCTTTGCTGCCAAATATTACTTGACAGGCAAGCGTGAAGGTCATCTGATGTTGTACAAACTGGACCAGTTCCCTCAAGGAGCAATTTGTCCTGTATCTTTTCTTTGGAGGCAAATGAAAACAACAGACACCACAACAATCACTGAGAATATGCAACACAGAGAAAATGATGAACTGATCAAGGAAATTGTTGATAGTGATAATGTAACAAACAACCACAGCATGGAGGCAAGTGATGAAATGCCCATGAAAGAAGATACGAGTCAGTTGTGGGTCTGGTGTCATCCTGCGAGTTTCAGCTCAGTTTTTGAGGCAATAAGTGAAGCTTGTAAGTCTGTTGGAAGAACTTCAGTTGAAAAAGGAAGATGTTTTCCTGATAAAGATGACAATCCTGATCAAGAAACTCAAAGCTGTAATTTTGTGAATGGTTTTGAGCACCCAAAGTTAAGGGTTATTTCTCGTCAATATGATTTACTACGGTTACGTCTCACAGGACCAGAATCACATGCTCTGCTGACAAACACTCTAAAGTTATCTTCTGGAACATCTCAAAAACATTGTGAAAATAAAAGCAACAAGAATTCACAAAATAATACAACATTTATCAAAGACAAAGGTGATCATAAGAGGACTTCAAAATGGTGGGAGCAGATACGAAATAACCCAAGTGATTCAACAGCTCAAAGTTTATTATGGGAGAAATTAAGGAAGGTGTCTTCACCCTCAGTCCTTCCTTCTGGGTGTGTCATTGGTTTGACTGTTCATGATCCACGCCTTTACCTTCCTGGAAAGAAAAAAAACATCATGCAGGCTACTGAGGATAATGATTCTGGTAATATCTTACTGTTACATGGTTTACACTAAAGCATAGGAGCGTGGAATCCAAAGGTCTGAGGTTTGATTCCTCATAAGGACTCAGAATTTTTTCTTTGTCCCACGCGAAAAACATCTTTCTTTAACCCTTTAACTCCTAGACCATACAATTCTTACAATGTTTGTTCAGAGAATTTAGTATTGGATCAACTAATTATCCTCAAATTAATATTTTTCTTTATTCTCATCACTTGTACAATATCATCTGGTTGATATTGTATTGATATTGTAAGGAGAAATTCTGTCCTGGTCACTCATGGGAGTTAAAGGGTTAAAGGATTTAGGACCTGTGAGAGGTTTTTAATTAGTTCAAAATGTTACATTTGTTTTAAGTATATTAATGCATAGAAGTGAATAGTATGCAAAGAAAATCATTGTAAATTTTTAACTAAGATCAAAATAATTTATAGCTTAATATTCTAATTCAGGAACCTATATGCACAGATCCCTTAAAATTCTCTTCAATATGTTGCATATTTTCCACAGAGTTTTTAACTGGCATTCTTCATTCACAGAAGATTCAGACTATTGTGCTGAAATAGCATCTGCACCTAGTGAGATGATGAGCAAAGTAGATAAAAGTACGAGCAAGCAGCCATCTTTTGAAGATCTCATGGCCAACTGGCCAACTGATGTTGCAGGCTCGCACATCTGGGAGGAGGCAGTTTGTCGTGAAGTGAAAGAAACAAAATTGTCTGAGCAGGATTTGAACCGAAAGAGATCTGCGCTCCTAGTTCCAGGCTCCCAGCTGGACTTGAAACCAGATGAGATTTCCCACATTCCTTTGCTTCTCATACAGCAACCAGGAAGTGCAGGTTAGGCTCTCTTTAATACATACATGTAAGTTGCCTAAGAGTGACTAGTGTCTAATTTCTCCCTAAAATCTCACTCCTGAATCAAATATGAAGGTCAGAAGAATAAAAGAAATAATCACTAAGAAAATAAACTCTTGATTCTTAAAACAAATTATCTTTGTCAGTACCGTAGGAAATGTATAGAGAACATTATCAATGGAGAAAATGCATCCTGATGGTAGGATGGAAAGGGTGAAAGCAGTTAGTTAACAGGATTTGGCCAATATCAGGGACAAGGAAGTAGTTGTTGATGTGATCACAAAAATAAAATAAAATTAGTAGAACTCTAAGAGTCAAGAATGTCGTTAAGAATAGAAGGCAAGGTTGGATAGTCCACTGGTGCTGGTGACTTCCTCTGTCAAGAAAAAAGAGATATACATGATTTATATTATCACAATAAGAGCAACACTCCAAAACCCCAAACAGGATACGGATCGGCTTTGTTGGAATAGGATAGAAACGACTGCATTTGAATAAATCACTGAAACGTCCAGCTCAATTCGAACTGAGTGTTTTTTAATGTTCCGTTTTAATTATTTGTGTCAACGCTGTGATTTTTACCTTCAACTTAGAACGTTAAGGTTGAAATATAGGTATAAGAACAACACGAGTACTCTAAGCTAAAATTTTCGTATTCTAATGCCTTAAATCTTTACGCAATGTCCCATCCATCTTTCAGGTGACTGTAGAGATGGTGCTGGATACGGGAGTGGCTGGGACATTATCCTTCCCTGTGGATGGGCCATGGCATTCTGGATGGCATTTGTCTACAGGGGTGCGAGAACTGGGGGCCTCCGGGAGAGTCAAACGTTAGCCCTTGAGCAAGGAGTGCCGTTCTTTCCGAATGATTTCCCTGACACTCCCTCAGGACAAGCGTACAATGAAAACCTGAAAGCGGACGGCGAGGCCCAGTACGGCCGATACCCGCCAGCGAAAAGACCTAATTACGACAAATTAGGTATCAAGTCGCCCTTTTGTCCACCTTGGAAAGAACTTGTCGAGGACTGGAGTTTGTCTGAGCCTGATTCTGGTGGTAAAGCAGTTGAATCCACAAAGAGCGTTGATAGAAATATCGAAAGTAACACCATAAAAGTCGAGTCGTCTTCAAACGACGTCTCTTTTTGCAAGCCCTTTTACGTGTTGCGATCTCGCTCTAAACTGGCTGCTTTGCGGAACTTTGTTTTGCGCGGCAAAACAAAACAGACCAAAGGTAAAGGCCTCAAGGATTTTGTCACAACCACTAGAGCGCCTTTGCCGATGAATAATGATTTGTCTGCCATCGTGAAAGAAGATGCCAATTCTCTGGTATGCGTGCTTGTGCGGATGGTCGGTCGAAACGTTCCCACACCCAACTCCACCTTAGCGATTCCTTTTTCTGAGGATATTACAGGATTCACGAAATGTAAAGACACGTCCGGCCCCGTGGAACCTCTGCACAAAGGTGTGCTGGCTCGCACGTCTGGGAAGTCTTTGAGGAACTTATGCAAGAGAGAAATCGTGGGATTTGTTTCATCCGGACATTTCTCCCTCGCCCGTGGATGTGGGTTTGGGGTAGGATTTTGTGCTCTACCGGGTCTTGTAAAATTGATATCTTCTACAAGTGACAGAGGAGAAGTCATGGTGTTAGTGAGGAGTCCGACCACTCAACAATATAGATGTGCTCATTTAACGATTTTTTAGTCTAAATTCATTCGGTGTTTACGCTGGACACAGTTGTATTTAATATACAACAAACTGAACCACTCAAAACCAACCTTTAGCTGAGTGCCACAGTGATGTTTTTAACGGCAGTCTTTACAAGCCCATCTATTTGATGGTACGTCGGAACAAGTTTTGTGTTTTGTCTTTAGTCTTTAATTCCGTTTCAGTTAGGTTAAGCTCTCATAGCTTTTGTTTATATCAATGTCTTAAGCTTCGGGTAGAGTCACAATGGAAGAATTGAAGACCTCTAGGTTCATGAAACATCAATAAATGTTTTCGTTTTCTTGTCATAAATGAGTGTTGAACACTAGTTTGAAAAAATGAAATGCGACTGCTCTTCGTTTTCTTACCCTCCACGGTGGATTTCAGAAGAAAATGAGAATGTTTATAAATCACAAGCACAAGGGAATCGACTTTATGAATATTTTGTTGTAATCGGAGAGAGTTAATTCTCAACCTCGCAATTCTTTACTAATCAGGGCGTAGGGTGGTCGAGTTACAGACTTCCCAGTCCCATGACAAGTCTTTTAAAAGGCACCAGAATCACTTACATGACCTGTCAGTTGAAATAATATTTCTATTAACATTACCCTAGAAAAGCTTTTTTATTTCTTTTAAAAAATTGATATATATGAAACTCTCCAAAGATAGACCCCAAACGGGAAGATATCGCTATACATATACAAATGAAGAACATTATATTTCAATGCAATTTTGTTTGAGCACGATGAGTCAAGAGTCAGCCCTAAAGTTTTGTATGCGAAGTGGCCTTTCGTTGTGAAATTGATACGCTATATCAAAAGTGGTGCGCATGCTCAAGAGAAGATTAGACGTATAGACTGACTGCTCATATGGACTTCATTCCTCAAAAAAGAACTTTACAGGGGTTCTCTCGGGATTAAGGCCCGTAGGGGAAGCTCGATTTCTTAGTACGATTCTCTCTTTTAATGATAATACGCCAAAGCCGTGAGAATAATGGGTATGACTAGCTACTGGAAATATAACTTGATTTGTTTGTCGATCGCTTGATATTTCTTTCATCTCTTGCAGTAAGGAAACCCGCTATAACCGCTTTTACATTTGTCGCATGCTCGACCAATCACGTTAGGTCGGCACACACACTGTCCGCCGAATGGCTCACAGCTCGTTTTTGTAGCTCCCAGGCTGTCGCAGTTGCATGATAATGCACCGCTGTTGAATCGAGTTGTGAGGATAAATGCAGAGCGAAGGCAGAATTGCGAGGTAGATTCTTTCAAGAAAAAGCTGCGTTGTCCACAATCCTGTATAAAATCTTGCGTGATATCGATGGGTTTTATATCCAGAAGGGATGCTGAGAAGGACGAGATTGGAACCAATAACACGTAATCCTGAACGAAAAAAAAGTAAAAATCAGCCTGTTATTAAGAAGTCGCTCATAATAGAAAGTCCGCTATACATAAGGCTTAAAGTTGTAAGCTCTCTGCTTCAATTGCATGAACTAAAAATTGAAAGAGTCGCTTACGAGTTTTTCTAAAGGTCATTCTCCTTATTCATTAAGGGACGGGCACCTGACTCTCCCTATCACTTACTTCACCCGGACTTAATCAAAACTAGTATTATGCGGACAATAGCCTTTTACTAAAAGTTTCGCTCCATATTAACTTCAAAATGAGCCTGTGCGTAGCGAGAACCTCTATAAAGCGGAAGTGGACAATAAGATTGAGCGCTTTAGTCGCACGAAAGCTAGACTAATGTGCATTTCATTTTATTGTCGAAAGTTATCGAGGATTGCTTTAGTTTCGTTTCACTTCGTTAAATGAAAAGACTAAAATACCTCCGCCTCTTTATCAACTAATCAGAATTAAAACCAAAACCAATCTGGACTAGGTCACTCGCGTTTTCCCGCGCTATAAGCAGTTTGCTTGTTTTCACTTTGAATTCCCATTGGCTCGTTTAGATGTTTTCCTCCGCTCTGATTGGCTGTTTTAATGGCTTTGGTTTTGATTTTGTAACACTCAATCGAAATACACCCTAAGTGGCAACTAGTGAGATAAATTTCTCTGAGAGTGGGTCACTTGAAAATACTCCCAGACGCTTCATGTCACAGTCACCATACTAAACATTGGCCATTGTAGGCCACTGTCCTCTAGGTTCGTTGCGACTATTCAGAGATACATAAGTTTGCTCAAAAGCACAATAACACTACAGCAGGTAATTTAGTGTTAACAACTGGGTTGAAAACGTAAATTAGCCACCGTAAAGGGTAAAAAAACACTATAGACTGTGATTTTGTCAGACTAGAAAGAAAACGAGTCACATGTGACTACTTACAATCCATACACCTTTGTCCTCAGGAATGGCTATACTGACAAGTATGTCATTCTGTCGCCCAACGTAGATAGATTCACGCATACCCTCCCTGTGCTGTGAGGTACCTATGGCTCTGCAGCCCGACACGTGAGGGCAGTAGCTGAACGTCAACAGCGTGGACGCAGCGTTCTGTCCACTGACAACAACTTTTCCCAGGAAGGAGAGGAAGTTCGGCTGGTAGAAATGCACAATGACGTAGTAGCGACCAGTTCGCGCTCTTCCATTGATGTGAAGAGTTTTCTAAAAGCAGAAATGAGTTCATAACATTCCAAACAGATTCATCGTTTCACTGACATGACCACTTCTTTACCAAAATCTCGACAGGATCTCATCAGATCTGAACCCTCAATACCCGTGATAGTACCTGCAAATGGCAGAATTATTACCTGTCGCTTAAGATAAAGGGTGCCGCTTTGAAATTTTAAATAAATAATAGTTTAGTTAGCGACAGAGCTGCCACAGCGAAAGGCCTCTCATCCTTACTTTCTCCGAGTTTACTCTTAATGTCTTTGAAGACACGCTTCGATTCGGATAAGTAGCCAACTTGCCCTTCAGCAAAGAATCTCCCCACGGCTACGTAAAAAAAACTTATGCATCTGGATGTGCTTCGATCTGAAAACCTTACATCATTCATCACATTTGCTTCTTTTTCAAAATTTGTTAAGAAAGAAACAGCTCTGAATCTTTTCACTTTAACATTTGGATACTACCTTATTCCACAGTAAAGATATTATGTCGCAATCCAGTGTAAAATCTCTTCATTATCTCTTTATTGAAAGCATTACCTCGCCCACTTTCAGGTGCTTCAGTCTCGCCCTTCTGTCCATGATGTAGTAAGGGGCTTTATCGCCACCGTTCAACCTGTCTTCGGCCTCCACCTTCACGGCATCTTTCGGAGTAAAGTACGTTGACTGTACACACGAGAAACCGTTACTGATGCACTGTGTTGCTGGTAACAAGAGCTTCTGGGTCCATTTGGCGAGAGGAACAGCAGTAATGAAGTCCTAAAGGAAACAATTAATCAATTATATATATCTACGTCTCCACGAATCTTACTCTTGGCCCAGTCATTCGTTGTTCCTGAACCTAGCAGGTAGTTCGTTCGGACTCTAACAAGTGATTGGAATAAAGGAAAATATTAATTATGGGATTAGTTGATCTAATGCCAATCGCTCTGAACTGACATCATTATAATTGTATGGCATACAGTAAGGACCACATCTCATTACTAATGAGATGTGGGGTGTAAAAGTGTTAACAAGGGAACACTCCAGTGATGAGACGCCCACATTCCTTAACTATTGCAAAAAGTCAAACCATTCACTGTACAATGAAAAAAAATTTGAAAGGTTTGAATCATGTTTCAACAGACGAAATTTCGAGAGTGACAGGACTTGTCCTAATATTCATCACTTCCACTACTACGCCTAGCGAACTCACGTATGACAGACTGTTAGTCAAGTAAACACAGCGGAATTCCACTTTATTTGAGAGCCACAGATGGTCTCAGCAAACTCACCAAAGCGATTGTTAACGAGGTTGTCATACTGACAGTGGTTTCTTCCTTTTGACTCGCTATGAATACAGCAACACCATGGTTCTTGTCGATAGCTACTTGTCGACAGCCAAAACGATATCTGCACATAAATAAAAAAAACGGAAAGCAAAAACACCCCATTTGATTTTGCACATTCTCTAACATGATCACCTGGCTGAACTTCGCTATGGCTTAGAAATACCTCAAGTTCCGATACAGAACACTTCTCAGGTTTTGCTTAAATAGGTTATTTCCATGAATTGGTTTCGTATCACGAAAATATCCCCGAGTTGATAAATTTCGTACCTCCCTTTCCTTGTATGCCTGAAAGTGTACTTAACTTGTAAGGAAAATCTACACTTTAACCGCTCTAACAGTCAAAGAGTCTAAATTGGCGCAAATGGTCCGCAGCAAGTTTCACACAAGTTGGAGGCAAGTTTCACACTCAACAGTAATCAGGTCATAGAGGGCTGAAAACCTTGCTGCTTTTGAATGGAACTTGAAGTGAGATAGTTGCTCGCTGGGAAAACAATGAAAAAGTGGAGAAAAGAAAGAAATCGAGAATTACATTATTGCATCTTACCTGCAGGAGAGAATGCTCATTTGCGCTCTTAAGATTTCAGAGCCAGTTTTAACGACCAGAACTGAGACTCCTTCTTTATCAGAATCGTGGAAATAGCTGGCCAACAGGACAAACTGGCCTTGCACTTTAGAAGGTAAACTGAAGGACATTTCATTCTGACGATGACAGAAAAGTCATATTTACAAATAAATCTATTGGAAAGACTCTTTCCTGTCACAGAGCCCAGAAAACCTGAGTCTGTATGCCTGAAATTTGAAACACTCAAACATCTTGGAACCATGACGGTTATGAACTCACCCTAGAGCCAGTCAGAATAAGCCCATGGAAGGGAATATCCGTTACTCGTCGGTTTCTTCGTACGCCACCAACAACCGAACTGTCCTCTGCTTGGATAGTCACAAACCCGTCTTGTTTGAGGCTTGGGAAGGCTAAGTGAGAGCAATGGCTACTGTCCCCTCTAAGTTTACAAGGACTAAAGACGTTAACTTCGAGGTTCTTTGGTTTGTAATACTCCTCTGGTAGTAGCACCATGTAGTCCTATGAAGAAAGACAGAGGTATAACGTTTGTGGACCTTGACTGACTACTTTCATTTGTGTGGTAATTTTCAGAATTTTGTCTAGTGCCTCAGTGTAATCGAGAGAGGAAGAGATGTCAATTCCTTAATATTGTTGGTGCGCCGGATGAATAAATCTTGGCTCTAAGGCACTGTTCTCTATTCTTGAGTACAGTGCCTCTCTCCTGGAAGAGCTATACTTGGATTCCAGCTCGGAAACGAGATAAGGCAGCCAACTGTTAAGTCACCTAAAGCAAGTGGCAGTGTTAAAAGTGATATATTTTTATACAATCAAATTTTGCACCACGTTGGCAGGCAATATTAAAGTCAACTTTATTCTACACTGGCGTAGAGGCTGAATTAGGCGTCTTTGCAGAGAGTGGAGATGCAACTTAATTAGAATGAAGAACCATTTCGTGGCTAAAGGTTAAGTTTCGTCCACCTACCACGAAAAGATCAGTAGCGGAGGCCGACATCGTAGATTTCCATTTTCCCTGACTCAGCATAATTTGCTGTGGGTCTCCCCAAGTGTCTCTGACCACAAGGAAGTCAGCTGAGCGGTAGAACCAATTGGATGTTGCTCGGAATCGGACATTCAGCGTCTGCTCTGTCGCAGAGCCTGATGGAAATAGAGCTGCAATAAGACGGAATTTCTTATTTATGAACACATGAAGTGTCCCGTTTCAACTGATACCCTTCTTTGACTACTGACTTTCGATCGCTGGTGAAGGACTTATGGAGTTGCAGGGGCGGCGTGTTATGCAGGAAAAGAAGACCGACAAAAGTAACTAAGTTGTTCCTCTCAGGGTATGTTGTGTTTTACGAGCGCGGGATATATAACTAGATTTCAAATAGCCGTGGCTTAAGAGAAAACTTTGGAGGAAGAGGGCAGGATGAAAAAAAAGACCTGAATGAACTAACTACGCTCTTGAATTAGTTATTTAGTTCGTTAAATAGTTCGGCCGAATTCTCATTTGCGCCATTGCTGTTTAAATTTTCTTCCACTTTCATCCTCTGTAACCCTTGCACAGGAGTTAATAGACAACAGCAGGTCACATTCATTCTTTAAGGAAAATTGAAATTAAATACACTTTTAAAATCAGGGCTCATGAGGGTTTCGTGCATCGCCTAATAAGACGGTCTGCGTTTGGTAATTTTTTCTGACCCAGCCTCAGAAATAAACAATTAATAGTTACCTGAGTTCACTGTTGGAGTAAATCTCACTAAGGCCGTCACGGTGGCGTATCGGGCCAATAAGTAATAGAATACCAGTTGGTATTTACTTGTTCGAGGAACATCAATCATCATATATATAGATGTCTATAGGAGTGATAAACGTGTTGATGCTATTAATAACATGAAGATATATCCTATTAGCTGTACAAATCGAAAGGCAACGGAGATGAGGTAATGCCTCGGCCTCATTTAGCATTATAACAGCCCAAAAACGAAAGATAATCGGAAACATTTTCAATCCCAGCTCACAAAAACAAAATTACGTTGTTACCTGAGACTGCGAGAAAACTGCGTAACCTCGCCAAGAAAATCCCGGGAATTCACTCTCGTCGTATCTGGAGTAAGCTGATCTGCCATTGTCAGTGGAGATCGCATCTTCTAACTCGACTTTATATTGATGAAGTGTGGGGTAGTAATAGTCATTGGACTTAACCCTGTGAAGAAAAAGTAATGAGACGAGACTAGGTTGGAAATACGTTTACGTCGTTATACTATGCTCTGTGATTGGTTAGATACAGCACTCGCTCCAAATTCTAATCCAATCAGATGCCAAACCAAAACCAATCGCGACTTGGTCGCTTTTCACGTGCTCTGCGTAGGTTGCGGATGTTTGATATGAGTTCTCACTTGCTCTCCATTACATTTAACGTTGATCTGATTGTGATTACTTTGGTTTTCGTTTTACGGCACTTAGTTGAAAAGTACCCCTATAAATCAGCATGCGTAAGGACAAGTTTGTGTTCAGCTTAACCAACCAACCCACCTGTCACACTGGTTTCCACCGATACCCGGCAAGCATGGGCACTGTCCTGTGATTTCGTTACAATATGTGCTAAGAGAGCCACCAGCATTACATGAGCAACCTGTAAAATCGTCAAAACAAATAGAGCGTGACACAATGATTCTTTAACTTAGGCGGGCAAAAAATGGTGGCAGTCAGGGACACTCCACCTTCTCCGCTTATCGTAGAATAAAACTAATGCATGAGCCGACAAAACTGGAGCCTTGCGCCGTAGTCGGCAGGATTCGAACCTGCGCGGGGAGACCCCAATGGATTTCTAGTCCATCGCCTTAACCACTCGGCCACGACTACGTTACAGAAAACTCAGTGAGTGAAGGTCACTAGTTTTTCTATGACGAACTTGGAGAAAAATGTTTCGTACTTGATAGTGTTATATATCTTCATAGTCTTGGGTATACACTTCAACTGAGTATTTATAAAAACCCTTGCTCAGAAAAATAACACCACGCTGCCGTTAAATGCTCAAGGAGATAAGTGTCAAGCTTGTTACAGTACTTAATAATTCCTTTGTTTAGCTTTTTGAACCTCAATTCATTAATAAATATAACCTAAATTTAACAGGAGAGCCTTCATTAAGCGAGAGATCTTTTTTTTTTAATTTTGAGACACATTTACACGAAAATATGGAGAAAACCAGAGTATATATGAAGCTACCAAACCAGCATTGTGGCGCAGTGGGTGAACCTATAACTCAGAGGTCCGCGAATCAAACCTTTTGTTGCACGCTTTTATCTCTTTGATTCACTAAAATTTCTTAAAACAGCTTTAGTCCGTTTTCTTTTCTCTTTTAAGAGCAAGAACTAGAAAACGAAATTATTCAAGTATGAAGTGAAAGTCTAACACTGAAAATTATTAGCAACGTATAACCCAGAGGTCCAAACATAAAAAAATTCTCTTCTAAAGTGACACTTTGGTTTGCTTGCTATTCATCTTTATCGATAACGATGTTGAAACACAACACCTCAGTACACTGCCGGAGAAAATGCTGTTCCCATTACCTCAGAAGTTCACGTTTATTTCCTTTTTGCTTCCTTGTTTCGTAGCAGAGACGACAAAACGAAATCTTCTCGACAGAAGCGCAGGTGCGTGGCTCAAAAGTAAAAGAAACCCAAGAAAGGCGGACAAATCTTGTGTTCGCCTGGCTTTTATCCATCAGCAGCAGAGTGGCGCAGTGGAAGCGTGCTGGGCCCATAACCCAGAGGTCCGAGGATCAAAACCTCGCTCTGCTAGTAATTTTTTTTTTCAAAACAGCACAGATACTTAATAGTTCTAAACTTTCCACACTTAATAGAACAGAATTATTTGGGAGGGACTCAGCTTTTTTTCCTTTTGGAAAGAGTTTTAAATATAAACGGAGCTGACTCTAAATATACAAATATTCAAAGTAAAATGGACGCAAGAAAGGCGGGCAAATCTTGTGTTCGCCAGGCTTTTACCCATCAGCAGCAGAGTGGCGCAGTGGAAGCGTGCTGGGCCCATAACCCAGAGGTCCGAGGATCAAAACCTCGCTCTGCTAACGACTTTCCTTTTTGTCAAAATGGCATAGATACTTATTATTTCTAAACTTTCCATACTTAATAAAACAGAATTAATTGGGAAGGACTCAACTTTTTCTCCTTTTGGAAAGGGTTATAAATATAAATGGACCTGACTCTAAATACACAAACATTCAAAGTGAAAATGTACGTCTCTGGGACTAAACGTTTCAAAACAAAAAAAGCAAGTGGGTGAGTCAAAGCTAAACGTAATGAATGAATGACGATTCAATCTTTTTGTTTCCCTATGTTTTACCTATCAGTAGCAGAGTGGCGCAGTGGAAGCGTGCTGGGCCCATAACCCAGAGGTCCGAGGATCAAAACCTCGCTCTGCTAATAATTTTTTTTTGAATAACACAGATACTTAATAGTTCTAAACTTTCCCTACTTAATGGAACAGAATTATCTGGAAGAGACTCAACTTTTTTTTCTTTTGGAAAGGGTTATAAACACAAATGGAACTGACTCTCAATACACAAATATTCAAAGTAAAATGGGCGTCTCTCAGACTAAACGTTGTAATACAAAAGGCGCAAATAAGCGAGTCTAAAGCTTAGCTAAAAGTAATGCGTGAATGACGATCCACTCTTTTCTTTCCAGACCTTTTGCCTATCAGCAGCAGAGTGGCGCAGTGGAAGCGTGCTGGGCCCATAACCCAGAGGTCCGAGGATCAAAACCTCGCTCTGCTAACGAATCTCCTCTTTGCCAAAATGGCATATCATTTCTAAATTTCCAAAACTTAATAGAACAGAATTATTTGGAAGAAAAGCGGCTTTTTTTCCTTTTGGAAAGGGTTGTAAACATAAATGAAGCTGATTCCAAATGCACAAACGTGGACGGCCACGTTGGATTTCCTTAAGACCGAAAGTTTAGATACATTGACTGACAAATCTCTTTTCTATTTTGTTTTGTATCTGCGCTAAAGATTGCAAAACAGCTGATTGACGGCAAGGCACGAGAAACGTCCAAACGAAAACGATTTAAAAACTGCAGTAGCTCAGTAATAAGTTGTCATTCTGTGGGTAGAATTTCTCATTCTTGGTCAAACGAGACGTCATTGGGAATTTTCCAAACAGGTAACGAAGAGAGTCTACTTAAATACTTTAGAAAGAAAATTACTTACGTTTACAGCCGAATGCATTTGGTCCTTCGATGCTATAATAGCCTTCTTTGCATTGGTCACATTGGCGACCAGTTACGTGACTCTTACAGAGGCACTGTCCGGTGGTCTCGTGACACGTTTTGATCAATCCCAAAGATCCATTAGTGTTGCAGCCACATGACTGACAACCCAAAGGGTTATTTATATGAAGATTAAAGTGGAACGGTTTGCAGCTGTCACACTTGTCACCCATCACGTTATCTTTGCACCTGCAGTTAGTCTAGGGAACGAAGGAGAGATTGACACTCAGTCGATGTATCCCTGGGTGTTGCAAAACCAAAACCGAATCAAATTTATCACAAAGGCCTATCAGACCAACGGTTAAAATAACAAGGAGCTATGCAATGAGAACTTAAAGTAACAACAAACAAACTGACTGAAGTGCGGGATTGATTTAGCTTTCGAATCTGATTAGCTATGAGGGGAACGCAAGTCTCCTTGAAAAATCAGTGCAAAGATCTCCCTTCGAGTTTCTACATGTTCTCTGGGAAATTGGTTAAAAGAATTTGTAGTGATATCAAGATAAAACACCCTTGATGATAAATGAGTTTATTCTCATCACCATTTTGTTTGGATAATTTATTTCTTAATTAAATCTTTAACTCTCAGCCGTGATTTACATGTACCTTCTCCTTTTTGATTACGTCTAATTTACAAGGAAATCTATGACAGCTTGTCGAGAGAATTACTAATTATATCTTGGAGTTAAAGGGTTAAGGAGGTGTTACATGATGATTTTAGATATATGAAATTCATGTATTTTTTCATATATTCATCTATTCACCGCAGTGCAAATATATGAATTTCATATATCTAAAATCATCATTCATTACTTGGATTGTTTATTTGGATCCAACTCATTGACCAGCTCCCAGTTGGCTTGTCAGTTGGTAGAGCGCTGCACCGGTATCGCAGAGGTCATGGGTTCAAATCCCGTTCGGGCCTGAATTTTTTTCAGGTCCTACTTTCAACTACTCGTTTCAGTAGTGTTCTTAGCTGCGAGGGTCTCTTAATTTCATGAGGTGTTATATGTTTATCACGTCTGGAGGTTCTCTAGCTAGTACTTACATTATCGACAGATCCACATCCATTCTTTTCACCAGGGAGTAATTTGATTCCAGCCGGTTCACAGCTACACTTCTTACAGCTTGGAAAATCATAATAGCCAATTCTGCACTCGTTGCATTTCTTTCCATTGAAATTTCGCCTGCACTGACATTGGCCATCTCTTGAGCGACAGAAAGTGCTTAATGAGCCACGAGTGTTGCAAGCGCAAGCTGAATGGCATAAGAGATACAGCGTTATCCTCAGAGTCATCTGTTGTCTATACCCGGTAGCATATAGAGAACTTTCTTATGGGAAAGTCCTAAACCAGGATTATTATCGATATCCTATCGTCAATATCCTTAAATCACAGACATGTGCGTAGCAGTATACAGTAAAAGCTCTAATACCTCACCCCTCCCTCTCTGTTTTGAGGCCTCTTTAAGCTAGTCTCGCCATTGACCCGCTGTAAAAAGTTCATCACCAAAAGTTTTATACTTTCTCACCTCGCAAACCAGAAAATGAAGAGATATTTAAACAAAAAGTCCACTTTTTAACCCTTAGGATGCTTGTACCATTGTGTGGATCAACACATTTTCAACTTAGCTTATCCATCCCTCTAGCTCTGTTCATTGTCACTTTTGTAAGTTAATCATTTTCATTGAAAGAAGCATGAAAATGCAGTGCGCGGGGATGACGGGGAGCATAGAACGAACGAACGAACGCGCTCTTTATCCTTTCGATAAAGCCTTTCAATGTTGTTGCCAGGCCCCAGTTTCCTATAAATCTCAAAAATCAACAGTCGAAAGTAAAAATATCCACTTACGCTTGCAATTTGGGAATCCATAATAAGTGGAAGATATACATCTGTCGCACTTGTATCCTCCAAATCCAGGCTTGCAGCGGCACCGTCCGTTTGTACTACAAGTAGGAGAAACTGATCCCACCACGTGGCAGCCACACCCTTGGTAAATGAAACAAAAGAAGCTTTGTAACATTGGTGAAAATATGGGGAACGAGGGTTTCGAAGGGTTATAAAATTATCTTGAGTAATACTAAAGTAGAGAGGTCGTTGAGAATGTCGGTAAAAACCATTCTGCGTCTTTCTGTATCTTGCCCACTGAGGGAGGACATGAAGAGAGGAAGAGGATAAAGGAGTGGATGTAGAAAATCTTCTGCTTCCTCTACCAGTGCATGCTCTCTTTTCAAGCTTTTCTTTCCTTTTTTTAATTTTGTTACTCTTAGTAAAGAAAGTGACTGTTAGTAGAAAGCAATAAGTGAAAGAAATTGGACCATAATTATCGCTAAGCTGTGTAAAGGTTTATTGTTAAGCTGTATTTAGGCAATTTAATGCATGGTTTACTGCTTAAGTAAATATATAATTAGTTTTGTAATTCGACGTATAATTCATTGTAATTTATTTCTCATTTCATTAATTTACTGTTAAGCTATATTAAATTTATTCATTGTAAGTGGCAAATGGTAAGTAATTTGTTCCAGGCAACTTTGATGAAAAACGAATAATGTTCCACTTACGTCTACAGCGTGGGAATCCAGCGTGACCAAGCTTACATCTGTCACACTTCCTACCCACCACATTGGTCCGGCACAAGCACTGCCCACCAAACTCCTCACAGACCGAGGACCTTGAGCCCAAAACGTTGCACGTGCATCGTAAAGGACCTCCTATGAAACGCATTGTCAAAGAGAACACATCCTGTCGACACTGTCGACCGCGAACTGGGTTTATATGGAAATGGTCTTTACCACAACTTTGCAAAAATTCAGTAACTTTGTCGCTAGACTGTAGCTCAAGAAGGCTTGTGGAGTAGACGTTTTGAGGCACGAGAAGTAGATACGACTAGAAAAGAAAATCATAGAATTAACAGCGATTGTATTCTGATGAGGACTTAAACTTTTATTGACGCTTATACAGTAACAGTGGACTTTCTCGAGTCTCTAAACTCAGAACAAGCTATTTCGCACTACAAAAAGAAATTGAACACCCACAAAAAGACTCAATCAACTATTGACACTACCTAAGCCGGCTGAATTTTGTTACCTAGTTGCGTAAAAATCATACTGCTTTGTCACTCTATTTGAAATTGTACGAATAAGTTTACTCTGCCTACCAGTAGAGTTCGCCTCTCGTGTTGTATCGTGGCAGTGAAAATCCCTCGGTTGAACACGAAATTTAAGGCTTCCTCTTCCCCGACGACGACACGGCAGCCGGGATCGGCAGGACAGTAGTGGAACGTTACGGGAATATTCGGCTTTTGGTGGCCAGTAATCGATAGTTCTTCAACTTTTTTAGATAGACTGTTAGACTGTCGATAGTGTATGATTATGCGGTACGACACAAAGGCCTTGACAGCCCCGTTGAAAATTGATGTCATCTAGGGAAGAAATCAGAGGTTAGAGGATGAACAAACGGAGGTTACGTCAGATGACTTCATAGCCACAAAATCACTAAGAGTGATGCGATTTAATACAGCAAGTGGTTAAATTAGCACAGGTTCACCGCATAAAGGCTTTACTAGTGTGACATCAGAAAAATTTTCCAATATATAACACAAGTACCACATATTGCTTGTTTTGCCATATGAGAACTACCTTATCTTTAGTCCGGTGAGAAAATGCAACCAGCTGAAATGCGTTCTCAGGTATTGGATAAGTGGCAGGAAAGCATGTTTTATTGACCATTCTGCAAAGAAGCCTGGGTTCGATGTACTGTATGTTCCACTTTGCTTGAGGTATGACGGTGACAGAACTCTGGAAAACAACGGCAGGAAGGAAGGGAAGATGGGTCAGTTATCATCATCGTGGTCGTCATCATCATCATCATCATCATCATCATCATCATCACTATCATCATCGTTATTGCCATGTCATTATCATCAAATTTAAGGCTATTATTTTGGTTATGGTCATTATCATTGTCATTATTCATTATCATTATCATTATCATTATCATTATCATTATCATTATCATTATCATTATCATTATCATTATCATTATCATTATCATTATCATTGTCATTGTCATCGTCATCGTCATCGTTGTTATTATCAACCCCATGACCAAAGTAATAAATACTGTATTGAGATGGAATGTGCAATACGAATATGCAACTGTGAACGGAAGATCCCCAGTTTAACTTCTGAAGTATGAATAAATTTTCACTCTTTGTCCAACGATAGGCAAATCTGAAGTTTGCATCTCTTCTTTTCTCTTCGACGAACAAGCTTAAAAGTTACCATCTCAATATTTTTTGTTTCATCAAACAACATCCTGATATATGCAAAATTGGCGAACAATTACATTAAATCTCTAGTATCCGGCAGTTCTTTAAAACAGCTGGTTCTGCCATAAAACCCTCCAAAAATCCACAGTGACGTAATAGAATGGCACGCATCGATAAAAATGTTACACCTAGTCTAATCAACTTAACGCAAGACACAGAATGCTTACCACGCCGATCTTGGCAGATGCAGAGCTTTCAATTTTAATCCCAATGGTCTGTCTGGCCTTAAGCTCGTAGTTCTTAGGGCGCTTGTTGCCATCCATAGCAAACTGGCGGCATAAAAACTGGTATTTGCATGGCAGAATCTCCATCGTCCCTCGCTGGTTACCTATTGTGATGGATACTCGGTGAATGAATCTCTCCGGATGGACGTAAGAGGCCATGACAACGTAAGGCCCAGACTCTGGTACTGTGATGTCGAAGCCTAGGATAGGCTACGAACAGAAGTGTAAATTTAAACTGATGTCGGAACTGATCTTAAATTACATAGTTTCTCTTACGAGTTTTTTAAAAAGTTTAATACCTGACTTTCTCCCAGCAAGGCCATATTAGAGAGTTTGGGTTCATCTAGGTAGTATAGTGTATCTGTGAATAAATAGGCCTGCCTTCTGAATGGGTGCGTGTAAGCACGGTTCCCAGACACAGTGACGATTGATGGACTTCTAGGGTCATAATATGTATACAT